ATATGATAAAATATAGCATAGCTATAATAGAAGAAAAGTTTTTGAGAAATGATGCGGAGTTAAACATAAACTTGAATCAGCATTATTTTATTAAAGAAAAATTCTACCAGTGGGAGAAAAAATGTATATATAAGAAATATTTGGGGAACGATCCAAGATGGCCGATCGCTAACATCCCGGGATTGCAGCTCTCAGGGAAGGCGCGGAGAACTAGAGGACGCCACACTTTCAGACAAAGTCTGGTCGCTCACGGAGCAGAAGATCCCCCAGTGGTGGAAACACACGAGTCGCCAGCGCTCGGCGCAGAGTAAACGGACCGGTTCCCCTTCTGACCGAGGTTTGGAGCCCCGGGAAGGCAGAGTCGCCTACTACGGAAACAAGAAGGAAGCCCGACAGGAGAATCCTGGGCAGAAAAGCACCATCAGTTTTAACGCCACTGCTCTGGCCCTGGGAACTAACAACCTGGATGTCCACTCAAGAGACCTAATCTGAAAGTTGGTAACTTCAAAGATGACAGGAGGATAAATTTACAATGACGGGAAGAAACCAGCGTAAAAAAGCTGAGAATACTCAAAATCAGAACACCTCTCCCTCTAAAGATGATCACAGTTCCACATCAACAATGGAACAAGGCTTGATGGAGAACGAGTGCCTCCTGATGACAGAATCACTCTTCAAGGAATGGATAATAACAAACTTCGGTGAGTTAAAAGAACATGTTGTAGCCCAACGTAAAGAAACTAGGAACTTTGAAAAAAGGTTTGATGAAATCCTATTGAGAATAGACAACTTAGAGAGGAGTATGAGTGAATTAATGGAACTGAAGAATACAATACAGGAACTCCGAGAAGTATGCACAGGTTTAAACACTCGAATTGTTCAAGCAGAAGAAGGGATATCAGAGGTCAAAGTCCAACTTAATGAAATAAAATGTGAAGAAAAGATTAGAGAAAAAAGGATAAAAAGGAATGAGCAAAGTCTCCAAGAAATGTGGGACTATGTGAAAAGACCAAATTTACGTTTGATAGGTGTACCTGAATGCGACGGAGAGAATGAATCCAAGCTGGAAAATACCCTTCAGGATATTATTCAGGAAAATTTTCCTAAACTAGCAAAGCAGGTCAACATTCAACCCCAGGTAATACAGAGAACACCACAAAGATATTCCTCAAGAAGAGCAACCCCAAGGCACATAATCGTTAGATTCACCAGGGTTGAAACGAAGGAGAGGATACTAAGGGCAGCCAGAGAGAAAGGTCAGATTACCCACAAAGGCAAGCCTATCAGATCTCTCGGCAGAAACTCTACAGGCCAGAAGAGAGTGGGGGCCAATATTGAACATCCTCAAAGAACAGAACCTTCAGCCCAGAATTTCATATCCAGCCAAACTAAGCTTCACAACTGAAGGAAAAAATAAAATCTTTTATGAACAAGCAAGAACTCAGAGATTTTATTACCACCAGGCCTGCTTTACAAGAGCTTCTGAAAGAAGCATTACACACAGAAAGAAACAACCAGTATTAGCCTTTCTAAAAATATACCAAAAAGTAAAGAGCACCAACATAAAGAAGAATTTACACCAACAAATGGATAAAACAGCCAGTCAACATCAAATGGCAGTAACCCTAAATTTAAATTGACTAAATTCCCAATCAAAAGACACAGCCAAAACCCAACGGCATGTTACATCCAGACCTGTTTCACATGCAAGGTTACACAAAGACTCAAAACAAAGGGATGGAGAAAGATTTACCAACCAAATGGAGAGCAAAAATAAATAATAAATAAATAAAAAGCAGGAGTTGCAATTCTTGTATCGGATAAAATAGATTTTAAAGCAACAAAGATATAGTGGTAAAAGGATCAATGCAACAACAAGAGCTAACGATCCTAACACCCAGATAGGAGACTTAGATTCAATGAGACAGAAAATTAATAAGGATATCAAGGACTCGAACCCAGATCCAGAACAAGTAAACTTAATAAATATTTATAGAGCTCTCCACTTCAAATACACAAAATATACAGTCTTGTCAATACCACATCACACCTACCCATTAGTTTAAATGAAACATTGATTGGCCATTATTAATACCCATTTTTTTTCAAAATAAAGCAATATTTCCATTTACTCTCCCTCTTTCTCTTCCTCTTTCTTCCTCTCCTTTATTTATTATTTTTTTTCTTTCCTTCTCTCAAAAAAAAAGAAATCAACTTGTAAACCTCTAGATCCAGGTCGGCAATGTCTCTTTCATTGCTTGATTTTCTTTCTTCCCTTCCCTCCCTCCCTCCCTCCCCGCTTCCTCCCTTCCTTCCTTCCTTCATCCCTTCCTTCCTCCCTACCGTCCTTCCCTTCCTTCCTGCCTTCCTCCCCCTGCCAAAAAAAAAGAAATATTTGAAAATAGCTGCTAAAATTCTAAATTTTTTATATTAGAGACAAATCATTTATTTGCTAACAAGGAATAAAAAGGAACTCTTAATTAAGAATTAGAGTAGATATTAATCTTTTGCAGAAATGCAAAGATATCTGAATCACACAACTTGGACAATTTAAATGTTCTAGATAGAAGTGTCAATGTTGTGCTTTCCATTGTATTAGTGGTTCCTATATTCTCTTTCTTGTTTTCAAGTTTCATGCCAGGAGGCAGAAGTATTTCCTTGATGTTGTGAGTCTATGAGAAATATGGTAACATATTTGATTGTCACACTCCAAGCAGCTGTGGGGGAAAGCCCATATTGTAGGGATCTACAGAAGTTATCACCTATGAACGTGGCCTCATCATCTTCATCGGCCTTGTCTTGTTTGTCAACAGCTGCTGCTGTTGCTGCATGGAAACATTCAGCTATCTTCATGACAAACAGGTCAAAGTGCTAAGTGAGACATTCTCAGAATGATCCATTTGGTCAAAGAGCTCATTATCTGCAAGTGATAACAGATAAATGTGGGACTGATGTAAGTCACCTTCAGGAACTCCTTGACAAGCTTATCAAGGAGCCTGGCTGTGGGCTGAGGTGGAAGACTTTCAAAAGCTCTTGTTACAGAGAAATCACCAAGAATTTTTTTGAGTTTCTTCAGTTCTAAAGAGGTTAGTTTCTGGCAGCGTCACACCCTTCTGGCACTTTTTCAAGCTCTTCTACCATGCTGATTCTCCAGAAGGGTGAGCAGAAGTCAACTCCATCGGTTTGGTTTTCTGGGCCATCTGGATGGTGGGTGACCTTGGAACTACCTGTGATGTGCTTCACCCCTGAGTAATCTTTTCTCGGATTTCAATGAGATCATGATAGTCTGCATAGACCATGTAGAACCAACAGGTGCTGAACTCAGGGTGGCAAATCAAATACATTCTCTTATTCATGAACTGGCATCCAATTTTGTAAATCCAATCAATGCCACTAACCAGCATTTTAAGGTAGAGTCCTGAAGCAATTCTCAAATATAAGTTAATGCCCACCTTGTTGTGGCAGGTGATGAAAGGCTTAGCCCCTGCTACCCTGGGATGATGTTCATCATGATGGTTTAATGTCCAGAAATCTCAACTCATCCAAAAAACTTCTCATATATGTGGTGATCTTAAGGCAGAGGATACATTGCTTTCTCAGAAAGTCACTCAGGATCAAGTCCAAGTACTCAAATAACATTGGGTCTCCTTGCCTGTGAGGCTACAGTAAGGATGCGGCAACATGCGAGCCAGGAGACAGCAGTGCAATTTTGCAGGGGTTGATGCTGAGCTCGCCCTTCTTGGTGTTTCCCAGATTTTCCTGGACTCCAAATACGTCTGGGAGTTTATTTATTGATTTATAATCCCTTGACTCGGCCATAACCTGCAACTTCACCCTAGTCTGCAGGGATCATTAGAAGGGGAACTTCCCCAGCTATTTTGGCATGGATCTTCAGGGTGACGTCAGTCAGGTGGTCACAGGCTGCAGGGGTCTTCCCCAGTAACCGTTGGCGGTGGCCTATGCTGGGGACCTGTAAGGAGCCCTGAAGTTTCCATTCGGGTCCACAGTCAGTGGTGTGGCTGGTGGCAGCAGCCACGGCTGGCCTAGCTGTTGCTCACTGAGCTCTGGCTTGGGCCCCTTCCCGACTACTCTCTTCTCTTCGGCTTTTCTGTCAGTTCCGGATCACTGCCATCCACTTCCATTTCAGAGTCCTGAGCCACCTTTCCTGAGGTCTGGGGTGAGGCCACAAAACCCCTCAAGACCCCTTGTCCATTTCCAGGTCCGTCCGAAGCCCCGCCTCTTCCGGGGAAGAGGGGGCGAGCATTTTCCGCGCGGGGCTGCGGAGGCTGCGCAATCGCGACCTGGCGTCAGCGCGCTCCTTCTGCACAGGCGCAGTCCTGGGTTCGCGGCCAGGCGTCACAGCTGGTTTTCCTGCTGCGCAGGCGCGATGCTGGGTTGGGGGGGCCCAGCCTCTGCGCGGGTCCTGCTGCGCAGGGTTTTGTGGCCTGGCGTCAGTTGTGCGCCTGCGCACTGCCGCTGTAGGCCGTGGCTGTCAGCGTCCGCAGAGGCCGAGGCCGGACGGTGGCCTCGCGCGCTCTCACTGCGCGCGTGAGCGGGCACGATCTCAGCTCACCGCAGCTCGGTGAGGCGCAGGCCGAGGCCATGAGTATTGGTTTTTAGGTTAACATTTTATTTTTAAATGGACTTACCTCTGGTATAAGCCCTGTGACCCTCAGGGGCCATGGGCGCACCCTCCCTGCCGAGTCCCCGCCGGGAAGGAGTCGGCCGGGGCGGCACGACGTCCCTGTGGGCAGGACTCAGCCGCGGCCTCTATTCGCTGGGCCCCGCCCCGGAAAGCCCTTTCGCGCGCTGCGCCTTCCTCCAGACACCCCCGGGGGTTGGGGACGGAGCTGCGGGGCTGGCGAGGGCGCCCTGGGCTGAGCCCCCTCCCCTAGCCCGGCCGCAGCCGCAGTCGCAGCCCTTACCGTCTGGTCGCTGTCCTCGAAGACCTCGCGGGCCTCTTCGTATGAACAGGTCTCCTCCATGCACTCCCTCTCCAGGTTTCCTTTCTTTAACTCTTCTAAAATGGAATTGGCCCTCCTGACCCTCGCCAAGACGTTGCTGGCCTGCTCCCTGCGGAGGAACACTGGAAGACAGGGAGGACAGCGTGAGAAGCCCCGGTCAGCCTCGCCGGGCCCCCAACTGCAATGTCCCTTAGCACACCACATCACAAAAGGCGGATCGCTCCCTTGTAAACCCAAAATACAATTCTTTTGTTTTTTGAGACGGAGTTTCGCTCTTGTTACCCAGGCTGGAGTGCAATGGCGCGATCTCGGCTCACCGCAACCTCCACCTCCTGGGTTCAGGCAATTCTCCTGCCTCAGCCTCCCGAGTAGCTGGGATTACAGGCACGTGCCACCATGCCCAGCTAATTTTTTGTATTTTTAGTAGAGATGGGGTTTCACCATGTTGACCAGGATGGTCTCGATCTGTTGACCGCCTGATCCACCCGCCTCGGCCTCCCAAAGTGTGCTGGGATTAGAAGCTTGAGCCACCGCGCCCGGCCCCAAAATACAATTCTAAGCCCCCGGCCTGCTGAATGGACCCTCCTCTCTGCCAAGGGGATTCCATTGGAACCTGAAAGACTAGTTCAGGCCATGACGGGAATCGGGGGGTCCCACATGCCTCATTATTTCTTCCTCCCTTTGGAATTCAGGCACAGCTGACCAGCATCTACAGTAAGAGAACTTAAGACCAAACAGATCCTTGGTGGCGATGAGATACCAGTTTCCAACCTGACTTCTCTAGTATAGGATCACATGACATATAGCAGGCCCTAAAAAAAATTATTTCCCCTCAAATTGTATTTCTTTAACATATTATGAAATTGCCCTGCAAAGCTGTCTCAGGGGAGCCTACATTCCGTAGAGAACCCCCTTACCTTTCCAGGTCTTTTTCTGAGTCGAGAGTCTAGCACCTTTATTTCCTTTAAGATTATGTCTTGCTCTGTCACCCAGCCTGGAGTGCAGTGGCACGGCAGCTCACTGCAACCTCTGCCTCCCAGGTTCAAGCCGTTCTTCTGCCTCAGGAGGACATTATCCTGCCTCAGCCTCTGAGTAGCTGGAACTGCAGGTGAGCACCACCACACCCAGCTAATTTTTGTATTTAGTAGAGATGGAGTTTCACCGTGTTGGCCAGGCTGGTGAACTCCTGACCTCAAGTGATCTGCCAGAGTGCTGGGATTACAGGATGAGCCATGGCACCTGGCCAAGAGTGTAGCACTTTTTAAAGGTCTGTAGAGGAAACAGTTGCCATCTATTGCCAATAAGGGTGGCCACCTATGAGTCTTCATCTACATAACAAGAACCTTGGTCTCCAAGCAACCCCTTATCATAACCCAGATACGCCTTTCTATTATTCTAGGTCTTTAGATAATTCTTTCAACTGATTACCAATTAGTGTATCTTTGAAGCCACCTATGACCTGGAAGCCCCCACCTTCCCTCTTTCTGAAATGAACCAATTTACACCTTATGCTTATTGATTGATATCTGTTCCCCTACAATGCATAAAATCGAGCTGTGACCCAACCACCTTGAACACATGTTCTCAGGACCTCCCAAGATTGTGTCATGAGTCATGGCCCTCACATTTGGCTCAGAATAAATCTCTTCAGATATTTTACAGAGTTTGGCTTCTTCATCAATACTTTCCTCAGGCCCTTTGGGGACTGTGGAGGGGAATGGCCATCTCTTCCCCCCAGTTCTCTATGAGGTACAGCATGAGGCACCTGCTCTAGACCCATGCACCCTTCTCTGGAGAAATAGACACATCACATCCAGTCAGCTCATCAGCCTCCTCGCATGCTCACGCCGGCTCAGACGGCCACCCAAGCCCCCTTCCTTGAATCCCCTCCCCCACAGTGCTTTCAGCCCACTCTGCCCTGTGCTTTGGCTCAAGCTGTGCCCCTTCAGCCTGGCTTCACTGTCTTTAAGGTCTCTGCTCTTCGTTATGTGGTGATTTGTGATGCTCTTTCGATTACAAGCTGTAGAAGTACAATGTATGAAGTCCCAGGACACAGACATATGCCAGCTTTCAAGAAATACCACTGATTAGTATTTCAAAAAAAAAAAAAAAAAAAAAAAAGAAAAGCTTAGTACAAAGTTTTCTATTTGATTCTACTTTTTTTTTCTTTAATACTGAGTTGATTTCATGGCAAGCATGAAATCACTGGCATGACTGGCAAGTTTCTTTTCTTGGCTCTGGAGTCTTTTTCTGTACTTTTTTTCCACTGAAAAACTCAATGTCTCACCACTATAGAGATGACTCTCCAAATTGATCTCTCCCCCACTGACATGTCCTGAGCTCCGTGTTTTCAGCTCTCTCACCATGACAGATGCCTTCCCTCATCTCAGAGCTCCAAACTCTCCATGTCCAATATTTAAAAACAAGACTCCAGAACCAAGCAATTTTGAGTTTCGAAAACATCTTAGTCACTTACTAATTATTGGCAGATGAGAATAATAATACCTATTCTTAGAGTTGTTTTAAAGAGTGTATAAACTCCTAGTGTTGAGTTTGGTATACAGAAGGTGCTCAATAAATCTTAGGTTCATTCCTATCTCCAGTTACTTTACCTTCCAAATTCCCCATTTTTTAAGTGACACCAACATTATCCCACCAATGGTAGGCTTAGATTTACTATTTGTTGACCCTGCCCCGTTACTCTGCATGTCTGCTCAAGCACTTGCTCTGAAACACAGCCCACACGTGGCTCTCTGCTGCAACCTGCAGCCTCATGCCACCCCACTCCACAAAAGTCCCTGAGGGTGCTGGGGGTGGGGCAGGGAATGCCCGTGTCCCTCGGGAGCTTGGCTCTCACGTTGGGATGACCACAGCCTCAGACCAGTTATCCAAGCCTGGCTCAGGGTTTTCCAAATTGGGACTGGTGGCCTCTTGGGCTCCACTTGGGGTCTGAAGGCCACCTTCTGCCTTGCCCTCGATGTTCTAATGCAGGTTGAGCAGGACTGGGTGGGGAGGAGGATGCAGGTGGTGGGCACAGGATGGAAGGGATGATGCAAGGAAGTCAAAGACCACCCAGAACCCGAACCCAGTGGTCTTGGAATAGAGCATCCCAGGGTCTTCCCACGGCCAGGGCTCCCAGGCCACAGCACCTTCAACTCTGCCTTCATTCATGTCTCTTTGCCACACTGGGCTCCAGGCTGACCTTGGCTGAGCCCAAGACTCATACCCCAGGACCTTGGCACCAGTCACTTCCCTGTCTGGAACATTCTTTCCACAGATACTTGCATGGCCCGGCCCCAGCTCCCCATGAGAGGCCCTCCCTGACCCCGCCCTCTGAAGGTGCCCCCACCTCTGTCTTCATCCCCTTACACTGTGCTATTTGTCTGCTAGCGTCTAACCCCACTCTGACATTACATGTTGACAGGTTCATCCTTTCCTCCACTGGAAAAAGACTCGGCCTGTTTGGTCACGGCTGTGTCCCCTGGCACGACCGGAACTTAGCCAATATTTGTTAAGGGAATGGCGGAAAGGCTGCACGCCTGGCTCGGGCCTCTGGACTGAATCTGGGCACTTCTGAGTCGCGTCAGCGTTTCAGTCACACTGAGCAGGTTGGGCCTTGGCCACATGGCCGCATTTTCTGATGTGAGTAAAGTGGGATTGGCAAAACGAAATTAAAATGTAACAAGGTTTTTAGACACTTGTCTCAAGACATGAATGGAATTAATCCAGATCAGCATTCCGGAGTGTCCATACTAGCACGTGTTTGTGTCCCTGTGGTTTTGTTTCTTGTGTGCATTTGTTCTTCGGAAGTCGTCAGGAGTGTCCCAATCTTTGAACACACAGTTGCGTTTGCTGTGGCAACATCAGCGACTTCCACGGTCAGCAGCTGCATTCGAACAGGTTTTACCAGCAAGCAAAAGTTTCAGCTGTAAGGTCAAAACTCATGAAGAGTGGATTTCACTTGCTGAATGTAAGGACGGAACTGAAGTCACGTAGCGTTAGCAATCGCCAGTCAACAGCAGCCGTTTAGAGGCTGGCGCTGCAGGTGCTGTGCATGTTCTGATTTTATTAAAATAAAAAGTTGGATTGCAAAAGCACTTACAGGTGTCAGGACAGGGCTGAATAATGTCCCTCCAAATTCATGTCTTTCTCAGAACCTCAGAACATGACCTTAATTGGAAATAGAAGTTTTGTGATGTATTTGGTTGGGAAGACATTTTACAGGAGTAGGGGGAGCCCTAAATCCAATGACTGGTGTGCTTCCAAGAGGAAAGAAGACCCACAGAAAAACAGCCGTGATGAGAATGCCACGTGGCGATGGAGGCAGTGGTGACAGTGATGCACCCACAAGCCACAGCTCCAAGGCGCTGCCACCCGACGCCAGAAGACAGGCCCACAGCAGACCCTCCCCCAGGCTATGGACGAACCAGCCCCACTGACACCTTGATTTTGAACTTCCAGCCTCCAGAGCTGTGGGAAAAATGTTTCTGTGGCTTTAAGCTACTTGGTCCATGGTCCTTTCTCATGGCAGCCCCAGCCAAGTAGCGCTGAGGCCCCACCACCCCAGAAGAGCTTCGTGACTGCCAGGACAGCCACGTTCGTTTCAAGGCTAGACTGCAGGTGCTATGTGTATTTGATTTTATAAAATAAAAAGTGTGCACAGCAAGGTCCTGAGTGGGACATTCTGGGACCTGCGTTCAGTCCCACCGACCTCAGAGCACAGCTGCTGAGGCCTCTGAGGCGGAGTGGGGGAGGGAGACAGCCTGGCGCCGTCTCTGCTGCTGACCATGTCCTCCCAGGATGCAGGCTGGCCCCGGAGACACCACGGGCGTGGTCATGGGCCAGGCCGGCTCCACACGGCTAAGGGTGTCATGCTTCCGTGGGTCCAGAGGTCTCAGGGCTCCTGCACAGGGCAGTGTGGCCTGAGGGGTGGGGAGGAGCTGGGGGAGATGGAACCACACATTAGCCCATGGAGGGGAGTCCTGTTCTGTGTGGAAGACAGGGAGAGGTGGGCTCAGGGGGCAGCAGGCTGAGGGTGGGATGGAGAGGACCCCCATGCAATGTGGCTGGAGCTCCGGTGTCACCGGGGGTGGGGGGGGGGCATTCAGATCAGCAAGGCCTCAGCCTCAGATAAGTTATCCACGCCTGAGAGTCCACTCAGCCTTCCCAGGGGCCTCCCCTTTCCTCCTCACGAGGGTCTTCCCCTGCTCCATCTCTCCCTCACACCCTCCTTCCACACGCCTGTGTCCGCTAGGTGCCCCTGCCTGTCCACTTTATCCAGGACGCACACAAGCCGAGGGTCCCTGTCTCCTGAATCTCCAGCAGAGGGGCCTTCCCTTCCTCTGTTGCCCCCAGCCTTGCCTGGCTTCTGCCCTTTCTGGGCCTCTGCCCCCCCAATCCAGCTGTTCACTAGGCAGCCCCTTCCAGGTGGAGCCAGTCCAAGGGTGGTGGCACTGGCTCGGCTCAGCCTCCTCCCTGGGAGCGCCTCTGCGGTGCCCCTCTTCCCATCCTCCCTGTGGTGGCAGATGGCCAACTGTCCTGACTCTGCCTGGCCCCCACCTCTCCCTCTGTGTCCCTCCCCCATCTGTCTCCCTGTCTATCTCTGTCTCTGCCTCCAGGTCTCCCATTTCACTGTTTCTCCCTCCCTCTCCTTCTTGCTCTCTGACTCTGTCCTTGTGTTTTTGCCTCTGTGACCTCTGATCTGCCCGTCTGACTCTCAGCCACAGGGACATCCTTGGCTAGAAAGGCCAAGCCCAGCCATCCGAGGCCAGCCCCTGACAGTGGCCAAGGCACCCACCGTCCAGGCTGCGGAGATGAGAGGGTTTCCCCAACTGCCGCCCCTCCCTGCTCCCCGGTGCTGCCTTTGAGTCTGAAGGGTGAGGGGCACTTACGGCTTCCCCCGGGCAGCAGGAGGCCAGCCAGGGAGGTGCTGAGCAGGACGAGGTGCAGTGGGTGTCTCATGGTGTGGCTGAGTACCATGTCCCTGTCCTCAGCGGGACAGGCTGCCGGAGCAAAGTCCACGCCCAGCTGGGACGGCTGCTGTCACGCTGCTTGTCACTTGGCTTAGGCCTCCTGATTGGAGCCGGGGCCTGCTGGGGAGGCAGGGGAGTGACCACGCTGGGAACACAGCCACCCCGGCCCCACCTTCCCCAGGCAGAGCTGGGCGGCCAGAGGGGCCCAGTGGAGCCCCATCCTCATCAGTAACCAGGGCCCGCCGTGGGCGTGGGGACGTTCTGTTCCAGGAGCGAAGAAAAGCATCATTTCATGCTTGTTTTGTAGTTTCCAGATGTGTACATTTAACCCTCTGTCCTCACGATCACATGAACGTGTCACTTTCCCAACATTTTTCTAGCACAGAAAACTGAGGTTAGAGAGCAGGAAGCCTGGTCTGAGGCCGAGGGTGGCGAGTGTGGGATTTGAGCCCAGGATGGCTGCTCCAAGGCCCTGCTTGCTTCTGGGTGGGTCCTTTTGCTCACGGCCACTCTCTGGGTAGTGTCTGGTGGTCTCATGTCACGGCAGTGGCTTGGCATCTGCACCACGGTCTCCCACAGGCCAGGCTGGTACCTCTCCCACCCACCCTCAAACCTTCTGTGCCCACGTGGCCCCAACATGTACTGCCGTTGGGAGTGGGCCTCCTCTGACCACCTGGAGGGACAGGCTCTGCCTGAAACCCCTCCTGGCCTCCCCACCACTGGCCACACTGTTCCGAGACTGAGAGGGCCCGTGGGCCTGTTCTCCAGCGCAGAACCTCCGTCAGCAGGCCAGCAGGTTGGCTGCTCCAGCTCCAGCTCATCCACAGAATTGCTCTTGCATCACAACACAGCGGTTTCCAGAAACACTCCTCTACTCAGTGGCTGCAGGAGTCACTGGGAGGTGCAGCCAGGATTTTTGTCTCTGGGGTCTCTGGAATAAATGGTCTAAAACTTGGCCAGTGTGGCGACCACTCCCTGCTACGCGGTACTGGACGGGGAACAAGGTCCCTAAGACCTACAGTGCTGGCCACTGCCTCGTGCTGCATCTGCCTTGACGAGTCGCCCTGTCTCGTGGCCACCTGCACATGAGCCTGCTGTGCACACATTGTGCATCTGTGCCTGGCACACAGGAGCCGTTCACTGAGTCCCACCCGACTGCACAAACTGATGATGGTGGATGCCAACACTGGGCTGGCCTCCCATGGGGGGGCACCAGTCCTCTGAGAGGGGCCTTCCTGGTGGCGTCAGGTGTCTGGCTCCTGCCTCTCCTGGTGTCCACGCTCTGGCATCACCTCTAGGCATGCGTGTAAGGAGAGACCAATGCAGTATGTGTACTACCAGCAGAGTGCCCATGCAGACACGCAGTCTTTGTGATTAGTGCTGGGTGGCAATGCTGGCTTTGGGGGCATGAGCCTGCCGCCTCCTCTGCCCTGTCCCGGTGGCCTCCCTGTATTCTATCTCACCGCTCACAGAAAGCTGGAGCTCAGCCACGGCAGGGGGCACGTCCCATATGAAACATGTAGCCTTTGGGGGTGCCCAGGCCCTCAGCAAGGCCTCTGGGGACTCCTCCTCCAACAGCACTGTGAGGTGACTGCCTGTATTTCCCATTGGCAGGAAGGGAGGCTGGTGCTCCGCCAGGACCCTGCATGACTTCCCTGTTGATTCTTGTGGGTCTGGGTGGGGTCCTGGCCTGTCCTCTCATCTCCCCGCTCCGCTTCTTCCTAGGAAGAGGAGTCCTGCCAACTTTCTCTCCCAAGAAGCCAGCGCAGCTTCCAGAGCCTTGGGCTGGGCTTAGGGCCTCAGGAGCCCGGAGCATTCTGGTTGCAGAATTTTCTATGAATTCACTGACGCGTCTATTTCCAAAGTGGCTTTGCTGACAATGATGATGGCATGGGCTTTTCCAGGACCTCGTTCCACCCGCACTGATCTCATCCCACCACAAGCATCACAGAGGGCTCCTGTTTTACAGACGAGGAAACTGAGGCATAGTCACTTGGACAAAAGAGAAAGCAGAGCCAGCTCTTACCTGGGTAAGGCCCTGCTGTTGGCTCCCGTAAAGTCTGAGCTCCATGTGTGGGGCGTGAGGAACCGGGGTCTGGCCAGCGTCAGCAAGCGTCTTCGGCAGTGGTCCTGACTCGAATCACCCTGGGCTTTGCGGTCATTGGGTCTGTGTGGCTGGACGGCCTCTGTCATGCACTCAATAGACACTAATATGGGTGTGTTCCCAGAAAGCTTTATTTACAAGAGCAGGGTGTCTTGGAAGCAGTCCTGGGCCGTAGTTCACAGGCCCTGTCTGCTCCAAAGCAGATGTTCCCTGAGAGCCCCCGAGGTGGGTTGCACCTGCCTTGCCGCTGTGAGCCCCGCTGGTGCCCAGGAGGGCCCTGCAGGGCGACGTCGAGTCTGCTTTACAAGCCATGCTGGCTGGAGTTGGAGTGGGGGCAGTGTCTGTCGCCTCCCGATTTTCTTCACATGCTTCTCATTCTTCCCCACCAACCCTGGGGACTTGGTGAGAGTGCAGCCTGCCAGGTCCTCCCCCTGCAGCCAGAGCCTGGGAGCGCACATTTAGCGAAGTGTTCCTGATTTCGAGCAGGGGTTCCCGGGGCCACTGAGAAATGTCATTGACAAGGGCTGCAGGGACAGAACATCCAGGTGCACAGGGGCCTGCCAGCTACAGCTTCAAACATCTATCCAAGACCTTTGTTTTTTAAACAGCTCCCATGGGAACGGTCATTTCAGTGATGCTGAAAACTGTGAAGAAAAGAGCAGCTTAGAGGATGAGCCCCAAAAATGAATCATGGGCAACCCAGGGGGTGGGAGGCCCCAAAGGCAAACAGAGGAGATGCAGCTATTTATTGCGAAGTTGGGAAGCAGGTGGGGAACAGCCTGTGCAGTGCGGCACCCAGCTTAGGGTGAAATACAGTTGGGGGAAGTTTGGGTCATTTACAGCATGCATGCTGATGCTTCTGAATTGTCTGAAATGAAGATGAAATGTTTGCATAAGAATGAGAAAAGTGAGAGGGGGACAGCACACATGGAGTCAGCATTGGTGTGTGTGCACATCTCTGTGTGCACTGGTGCGTGTGCATTCGCATGTATGTGTGTACATGTGTGCATATGTATGTGTGCATCCCTGTGCACATGTATCTGTGTACATTTGTGTGTGTGCGTAGGTATCTGTGTGTGTACACACCTCTACTGTCTCCAGCTGTGAAGGCCCAGTAGTAGCCTGAGGCCAGCAGATCACATGCAGGTGGACTTGGCTGAAGGGAGACAAGGAGGCTTGGGTGGGCTGTCTGCGTCCAGGACAGCTGCAGCACTGTCCTGCTCTCCATCTAGCGCCTGTCTGCCTCTGCCTCTCATCTTTCTATGCCCTCTGTCTTTATTAGTCTCTTTGAGTCTCTCCATGTCCTCAGAATGTCTCCCTCAGTCTCTTTCTGTCTGTCTCCCTCCCCACCCCTCCACCCCTCCCATGCCCTCCTCTACTCCATGAACTGCAGAAGAATCGATGGGGTTTGGTCCCAGGACAGCTCTACATGGCCCCAGCTTTCTCTCCATGGGGCAGGGCTGCTGGGCTAGGGAAATGGGGCTCGCCGGAGGATGCCTGGATGTGGCTCTGAGTGCAGGAGCTTGTGCAGCCACTCGGTGTACTGGGAGACCCTGGTGTACACCCCAAAATGGCCCACGGCTGCACAGCCCTGGCCCCAGCTGACGATGCCTGTCAGGTACCACGTGCCCCGGTAGCGGGTGGCGTGTGGACCTCCACTGTCCCCCTTGCAGGAGTCCTTGCTGCCATCCCGGTAGCCGGCGCAGAACATGTACTCCGTGACATTTGGGTAGCCTCTCGTCTTCTCCGACTGCTCCAGGCAGTCCTGGGTCATCAGCCGGGGCACGTTGATGGCCATGAGCTCCAGGGCCTTGGCGCCACGGTCCAGCAGCTGACCCCAGCCGCTGACCAACGAGAAGCGCACATAGGCCAGCGTCATCTCAGAGAATGTCTGCTCAGGCAGGCAGAGGGGCACCACGTGGTCAGTGAGGACCACAGGCTGGTGCAGGCGGAGCAGTGCGATGTCGTGATTGGTGGTGCCCCGGACATACGTGCTGGGGATAATGACCTGCACCACCCGCTGGCTCTGCTCGTCCCCATCGTGCTCGCTGAGGTCGTGCTCACCTGGAAGGAAGGAACCCCACTCAGGGCTATGCCACCGCCTGCAGCCCCACCCTGGTGCATGGGGACAGGCTGTGGCCATTTTCACATCTGCAGGGGCTGCAGTCTCCTTTTGGGGCCAGGGGGCCTGCATCGCACCCCAAGGGGACCTGGCAGACCCGCCCCAGTGGCAGCCTGTGGCTCGTGGGGAACATGTGAACTGGGGTGAAACTGCGGCCTGGGTGTTGGGGTAGGGAAGCGGTACTGGGGCCTGGCAGCTGGGGGGACAGGGTGTACCCCGATTCTTCAGTTCTCGGCCTGGTGGCCCTCCTGGGAGTGATCATCTTGCCCATAAATCCAGCCACCTGGTGGGCCCACAAGGCTGTGGGCGTTGCACCCTCCTCTGGGCTCTTGGGCAAGCGAGGCATGATGGGCAGAGCCCCCAGTCTTTTACCATTTTATTTGGGCATGGGAAAGTGGCTGAGGATGGTGGCCAGAGCAGGCATGCCCAGCTTTTGGAGACATCTGTCTGTCTGTGGAAGTGACAGCGTGAAGCCCAGAGCAGTGGCCCCTGGGACTGAGAGCTGCCGTCAGGGAGAGAGGGCAGCACCTACCCAGCACCGCGCTTATGTTCCTCCAGTTCTTGATTTTGTCAAAACAATGAGCCGCGGAGACCACCCAGCTGGTGTCGATCAGGGTCCCCCCACAAAACATAGCTCCATTCTGCACCAGCAGCACCTGTGCGGGGCACAGCAGGCGTGGAAGTCACACTGCTGTCAGTTTCCCTGATGACTCACCCTCCTGGGCACCACAAGGGACCTCTGGCGTCGCACAATTTGGTTCTGCAATCCTCGGGTCTTTGCAGACCCCTCCCGGGCAGAGCTGCTCAGACCCGGCTCTGGTGGGCTGAGCCCCTCTCTGGCTAACCCAAGCCCCTCTCTATGACGCATGCTCTTGGGTACAGTGGCTCTGGGGGGCTGAGCCCCTCTCTAGCTGACACATGCTCTTGGGTACAGTAGCTCTGGGGGGCCGAGCCCCTCTCTAGCTTATGCATGCTCTTGGGTACAGTAGCTCTAGGGGGCCGAGCCCCTCTCTAGCTGACGCATGCTCTTGGGTACAGCCTAACAACACAGATGTCGCTGTGGGATTTCACTATTCACCTCACAGGATCTTCACATAGTTTTGATCCAGTGCTCCTGACTTTGCAAAGCTCAGGCAAGGATTCTAAAGAGTGACAGGGAGGATGACATGACAGCTCGGGTGGGGAGCCTCGCTGGGCTCTTTGCACAGGGTAGACCCTCAGTGAGTGTCGCTTTCTTCTCTCCTTCGCGGGGTGCAGCGAGCTGGAGGTGCTGGGTGGGCTGACGTGGAGCCTGGTGGGCCTGGGCTGACCTGCCTGTTTCCCTTCCAGAGCTGTTGTCCAGCTCACATTCAAAAGTCTCCAAGCCCCTCAGGGCTCAGAATCCTGAGGCCAGGGAAGTCTTACCTGCCATGGACACTCCCCTTTGGGGCACACCCTGCCCCCCACAATTCGGCCTTGGGGGATGCTGGCATTTCTTTTTTCTAGAATAGGTATTTTTCCGCATGGATATTCAACTGTGTAAAACAAAAGTCAGGAAGATGCAGAGATCTGTGAGGAGTGTGCCCCAAGTTCAGGCTCAGAAGCATCCTTGCTCTGAGAGGCTTGAGGCCGAGGTTTCGGGAGGCCCCCTCGCAGGAGCTGCCAGGTCCCAGGGGTAGGGGAGGGCAGGGCCTTGGCTGGGCCTGGCTGGTGGGGCTGGCCCATGAGAGGCCCTGGCAGAAGCAGCTGGCTGAGCAGACAATGGTCAGGGCTGGCTCTGGAGGAAACGGAGGGCCCTACATCTTGAAACCACCCTCTGCTCACTGTTCAGGGGGACGATGTGTTGCTTGACTTTACTAAAAGGTTAATGAAATTCTGCCTAAAGATGAATCAACAGCACAAACAATTGTGTTGTTCTGATCCCACGCTGAGTTTTCGATCTGCTCCAATTAAGGCCTTGGGCCAGAAAGAAAATCCGAGGAGGTGGCAGGCTGAGTTCTAGGCTGTATGGCTGGGGTGGGCACATCTGCCTCTGAGAGACACAGCGGACATGAGGGGGCCCTGCTGGAGACGGAGTGGGCGTGGGGTGACCCTGCCTGAGACAGAGCGGGAGTGGGGTGTCCCTGCCTGAGACAGCGGGAGTGGGGTGTCCCTGCCTGAGACAGCGGGAGTGGGGTGTCCCTGCCTGAGACAGAGTGGGAGTGGGGTGTCCTGCCGGAGACAGAGTGGGAGTGGGGTGTCCCTGCCTGAGACAGAGCGGGAGTGGGGTGTCCCTGCCTGAGACAGAGCGGGTGTGGGGTGGCCCTGCCTGAGACAGCGGGAGTGGGGTGTCCCTGCCTGAGACCGAGCGGGTGTGGGGTGACCCTGCCAGAGACAGAGGGAATGGGGTGTCCCTGCCTGAGACAGAGCGGGAATGGGGTGACCCTGCCTGAGGCAGAGTGGGGGTGGGGTATCCCTGCCTGAGACACAGCATGCGTGGGATGTCCCTGTCTTTGGAAGTGCAGCCCATTAGCTCCAGGCTGGTTTGGAGAAATGTCCCATTTTCCCAGGAGCCTTTACCGGGTTAGGAATGCAGAGTGGGGCAGCAGTCAGTAGACACTGGCTGTGTCCAAGCAGATTCACGAACCCTGGTGGAGGTCCCACAAGTCGGGGTGGGATGTGAGACAATGCCTCGCTTGTCTCCCCTGGCCTGTCTAGAATGGGCAGGGGGGCCTGAGGCCATTCAGGGACTGCCCCAGGTTGCCCATCCCAGGCACTATGGCTCTGGCCTGTGCCACCTTGGTGCCCAGATCCCGCCTCACAATTGGTCAGCGCATAGTGGGTGCTCAGTAGATGCAAAGCCACCCCTACCCATCTTTTGTCCAGTAAGATAATCCGTGGTGGGACAAAGACTGGTGTCATCTGGGACTGGGGGTCATCTGGTACATGAAACCACAAGCAGCCCCTGGGGCCTGGTCACCTGTGGGCATGCAGGACACCCCATCTGCCAGCAGTGAGTATCCCTCGTGGCACCGACAGGAGCGCTTGGTGCCCGCGTGGTCGCTGCAGTACTGCTCGCAGCCGCCGTTCTCATTTATGCAGATCAGCTGGTCATCCTTGTCTGAGGACAGGTAGGGGACAGCTCGAGAATGGCCCCTTGGAGTCAGTGAGAGCCAGCCCCGGGGGTAGCCGTGCCCTGGGTCAGCAGCTGCCTGGAAGGTAGCACTCAGCCGTGGGCGACAGAGACTGAGCTTGGCACCAACTGCTCCATGGATTGATCCAAAGGACCAGGCCTGGATCAGGAGTCACATGTCTGAACAGCCTTGCCAGCTGGGGACAGCGCTGGCTGCAGTTGCATTTGGGGGGATGCCTGGCTGGTGGGCAGTGGCCTCCAGGGCGACCGCTCTTCTAAGCAGCTGATGGGGAGCTGAGGGAAGCCTGGAGGAAAGTGAAAGTCCCATGGGGACAATACAAGTGTCCAAGGGACTTCCAGTCAGGGATCCAACTGGCAGGAGGACCAGAGAGCTGAGACAGTTCTCCATGCTGTCCTTGTGCCTCCATGAGCCAGCCTGGGGACAGTCAGCCCCAGCACTGGCCATGGGCTCAGACAGAAGACACAGAACCGGCAGCCCGACTTTGCTTGATGTGGGCAAGGGGAGTGGTCCTGAGTAAGCCCAGGACTCTGGGGGGAAGGCTGCCCTGCGGGATGCACACCAGAGCTGCTGGGCACCGGGGCTGCTGGGCACCAGGGCTGAGCAGAGCTCTGAGATGTCCTGGGCCCAGATGACCAGCAGGAAGCCTTTCTCCTCAGTCTCCCCTACTCTGCTGGGCTCTCCTCTGCTTAAATTAGAAAGTGGCTGCTGCCGGAGAGAGCTCATTCAGTGTAAGAATGTGGACTTGGATGGTCAGGGAGAGAGGGCAGCCTTTGCCTTGGCTCCTGGGAAGTGACCGCTAAGCCCTTGGGAGGTCCTGCCTGAGGGAATGTTGTTGTTTACCCAGGCCGTAGGCCATGCTGGACAGTCTAGCTGACAATGTGACACATGGCGGGGCCTAGGGCCACACTAACAGCTTGGCCTCTGGAGGGACTGGAACTTAGGTCAGCCACATGGGGGGGTCAGCTGGGTCTTTGTGACTGAGCCCTGATAAAATCTCTAGACACCAGGGCTCGTGGCACTTCCCAAGTTGGCCGTATTTCCCACATCTCGTCACAAGTCGCTCTGGGAGAATTAAGAACTGTCCACATGACCCCACAGGGAGAGGACAATAGGAAGCTTGTGCCTGGGCCCTCTGCAGACTTAGGGCTGCATCCTTTGCAGTAATACACAGTAACGGTGAGTGTATCCACTTCAGTGGGTTCTGAGTCCTTCCGATGAATGACTGAACCCAAGGGAGGTTGGGGGCCCCCACTTGGCAATAATTTAATGTTCAGAAGGGAAAACCTTCAAACCTTTGTAATGGGAAGTGTTTGGCCTGGTGGGATGTGGAAGTGGGACAGGGACACTGGGACTCTCAGCTGGGCCCTCTCAAGGGCTGAGAATTTCCCGGGGCCGGGAGCCCAAGGGGCCGCTGAGTCTGAGACTTAGAACCCTGGGTCCCTGGATCAAAGACCTGACTGGAAGGAACTTCAAGGTCACCCACACCAACTTCCAACTGGGGCTGACCCCAGAATGCCCGGTCCACACACCCCACCATGGTGCACCCTGTAGCCCGCTGGGCTAGGCCACCTCCACCAGCTCCCCAGGGCCCTCTGCAATTATGGGACCCAAAGTGGGACCTCACTTGTCTCACAGTTCCGGCCTTCGAAGCCAAGGAGGCAGAAGCAGATATAGGACTGGAACTGGTCCTCACAGGAACCCCCATTCTGGCATGGACTTGAGGCACACTGGTCCCCATCTGTGGAGTGGGCTGGCGTCAGGACACTGCGGAGAAGGCTGCAGGCAGCATCGGTGGGCGATCTACTCACCACTGTAAGAAATCCAGAAGAGCTTCTGAGGGAGCAAGAGAGGAAGCACGTGAGCCACACCTTCACCAGAGCACCACCAGCAAGCCCTGGACAAAGCACAAGCTAGGGGCGGGGGCTTAGACCTGGGCCTGGCGGGGTGGGCTCAGGAAGCCAGACTTTCCTCTGGAGCCGAGGGAGGTTTCTCCTCATCTCAGCCCCTCCCCAGGACATCTGGAACTACGGGTAAGCACACATTGTCTGCTCCCAAGTCAGAACAGCTGGGGTTCAGCCCTGACTCTTCTGTTGCCGAGCTGTGGACCTGGGGCGAGGGACACAGGCTCTGAACCACAGCTCCACCTCTGACAGGGCAGCCACACACACAGCTGCACGGGGAGAAGGTGTAGTAGCAGATGAAAAATATTCCACAAACTACAAAAGCGCTCCGCAGAAAAAAGTGGTTGCTGAAGAAACTGTTGGTCATCAGAACTCAAACTCACAGGGTGCTGTGAGAATATAACAGATGAGAACTGCTTTGAAAACTAGGTGTAGAAAAACGCTAGGCATGACCATCCTCCATTTGCCTGGAGAGGGCCATGTTAGCCTGTGTCTCAGCTCGATCTCCTGTGAGTGTCAGGCTTCCTGTGAGTATGAGATGTCCTGTGTGAGGTGACTTGTGCCTATGAGATGTGGTTCTCTGTGACTGTGAGGCATCCTGTGTGAGACATCCTATGAGTGTGAGGTGAGAGATCTCACACAGTGAATGTCAGACAGTCTATGAGTGTGAGGTGATCTGTGAGTGTGAGGTATCCTGTGTGAGGTGACCTGTGAATGTATAGTCTGTCCTGTGAGTGTGAGATCTGAGTGTGAGGTATCCTGTGAGTGTGAGGTGATCTGAGTGTGAGGTGATCTGTGAGTATGAGGTGATCTGTGAATGTTTAGTCTGTCCTGTGAGAGGTGACCTGTGAGTGTGAGGTGATCTGTGAGTGTGAGGTGATCTGTGAATGTGTAGTCTGTCCTGTGAGTGTGAGGTGACCTGTGAGTGTGAGGTAGTCTGAGTGTGAGGTGACCTGTGAATGTGTAGTCTGTCCTGTGAGTGTGAGGTGACCTGTGAGTGTGAGGTGATCTGTGTGAGGTGACCTGTGTGATGTGATCTGAGTGTGAGGTGACCTGTGTGAAGTGTGTCCTACGAGTGTGAGGTGACCTGTGAGTGTGTGATATGATCTATGTGATATGATCTGTGGGGGGAGGTGATCTCTGTGATGTGATCTGAGTGTGATGTGATCTGTGTGAAGTGTGTCCTGTGTGAGGTGTCCTGTGAGTGTGAGGTGACCTGAGTGTGAGGTGTCCTGTGATTGTGAGGTGACCTGTGAGTAATATGATCTGTGTGAGGTGATCTGTGAGTGAGGTGACCTGTGAGTGTGAGGTGATCTGAGTGTGAGGTGATCTGTGTGAAGTGTGTCCTGTGAGTGTGAGGTGACCTGTGAGTGTGTGATATGATCTGTGAGGGGAGGTGACCTGTGTGATGTGATCTGAGTGTGATATCTGTGTGAGGTGATCTGTGAGGTGACCTGTGAGTGTGAGGTGACCTGTGAGTGTGAGGTGATCTGTGTGAAGTGTGTCCTGCGAGTGTGAGGTGACCTGTGAGTGTGTGATATGATCTGTGTGATACGATCTATGAAGGGAGGTGACCTGTGTGATGTGATCTGAGTGTAATGTGATCTGTGTGAAGTGTGTCCTGTGTGAGGTGTCCTGTGAGGTGACCTGAGTGTGAAGTGACCTGAGTGTGAGGTGTCCTGTGAGTGTGAGGTGATCTGTGTGAAGTGTCCTGTGAGTGTGAGGTGACCTGTGTGAAGTGTCCTGTGAGTGTGAGGTGATCTGAGAGTGAGTGTCCTGTGAGTGTGAGGTGACCTGTGTAAAGTGTCCTGTGAGTGTGAGGTGATCTAAGTGTGTGAGGTGACCTGTGTGAAGTGTGTCCTGTGAGTGTGAGGTGACCTGTGTGAAGTGTGTCCTGTGAGTGTGAGGTGATCTGAGTGTGAGGTGACCTGTGTGAAGTGTGTCCTGTGTGAGGTGACCTGTGTGAAGTGTCCTGTGTGATGTGATCTGAGTGTGAGGTGACCTGTGTGAAGTGTGTCCTGAGTGTGAGGTGTCCTGTGTGAGGTGACCTGTGTGAAGTGTGTCCTGTGTGATGTGATCTGAGTGTGAGGTGATCTGAATGTGAGGTGACCTGTGTGAAGTGTGTCCTGTGAGTGTGAGGTGACCTGTGTGAAGTGTGTCCTGTGAGTGTGAGGTGTCCTGAGTGTGAGGTGACCTGTGAATGTGAGGTGTCCTGTGAGTGTGAGGTGGGGTGACCTGTGTGAAGTGTGTACTGTGAGTGTGATGATCTGAGTGTGAGGTGACCTGTGAGTGTGATGTGATCTCAGTGTGAGGTGATCTGAGTGTGAGGTGACCTGTGTGAAGTGTGTCCTTTGAGTGATGTGACCTGTGAGTGTGATGTGATCTGAGTGTGAGGTGATCTGAGTGTGAGGTGACCTGTGAAGTGTCCTGTGAGTGTGAGGTGACCTGTGTGAAGTGTTCTGTGAGTGTGAGGTGATCTGTGTGAAGTGTGTCCTGCGAGTGTGAGGTGACCTGTGAGTGTGTGATATGATCTGTGTGATACGATCTATGAAGGGAGGTGACCTGTGTGATGTGATCTGAGTGTAATGTGATCTGTGTGAAGTGTGTCCTGTGTGAGGTGTCCTGTGAGGTGACCTGAGTGTGAAGTGACCTGAGTGTGAGGTGTCCTGTGAGTGTGAGGTGATCTGTGTGAAGTGTCCTGTGAGTGTGAGGTGACCTGTGTGAAGTGTCCTGTGAGTGTGAGGTGATCTGAGAGTGAGGTGTCCTGTGAGTGAGGTGACCTGTGTAAAGTGTCCTGTGAGTGTGAGGTGATCTAAGTGTGTGAGGTGACCTGTGTGAAGTGTGTCCTGTGAGTGTGAGGTGACCTGTGTGAAGTGTGTCCTGTGAGTGTGAGGTGATCTGAGTGTGAGGTGACCTGTGTGAAGTGTGTCCTGTGTGAGGTGACCTGTGTGAAGTGTGTCCTGTGTGAGGTGTCCTGTGTGAGGTGACCTGTGTGAAGTGTGTCCTGTGTGATGTGATCTGAGTGTGAGGTGATCTGAATGTGAGGTGACCTGTGTGAAGTGTGTCCTGTGAGTGTGAGGTGACCTGTGTGAAGTCTGTCCTGTGAGTGTGAGGTGTCCTGTGTGAGGTGACCTGTGAATGTGAGGTGACCTGTGAATGTGAGGTGTCCTGTGAGTGTGAGGTGACCTGTGTGAAGTGTGTCCTGTGAGTGTGATGATCTGAGTGTGAGGTGACCTGTGAGTGTGATGTGATCTCAGTGTGAGGTGATCTGAGTGTGAGGTGACCTGTGTGAAGTGTGTCCTTTGAGTGATGTGACCTGTGAGTGTGATGTGATCTGAGTGTGAGGTGATCTGAGTGTGAGGTGACCTGTGAAGTGTCCTGTGAGTGTGAGGTGACCTGTGTGTTCTGTGAGTGTGAGGTGATCTGAGTGTGAGGTGATCTGAGTGTAAGGTGACCTGTGTGGTGTGACCTGTGAGTGGAGGTGACCTGTGTGAGGTGACCTGTGTGATGTGATCTGAGTGTGACATGACCTGTGTGAAGTGTGTCCTGTGAGTGTGAGGTATCCTGTGAGTGTGATGTGATCTGAGTATGAGGTGATCTGAGTGTGTGACCTGTGTGATGTGACCTGTGTGATGTGATGAGTGTGATGTGATCTGAGTGTGAGGTGACCTGTGTGAAGTGTGTCCTGAGTGTGAGATGTCCTGTGAGTGTGGTGTCCTGTGAGTGTGAAGTGTGTCCTGTGAGTGTGATGTGATGAGTGTGAGGTGATCTGTGAGTGTGAGGTGATCTGAGTGTGAGGTGACCTGTGTGAAGTGTGATCTGTGAGTGTGAGGTGACCTGTGTGAAGTGTGTCCTGAGTGTGAGGTGACCTGTGAGTGTGAGGTGACTTGTGTGAGGTGATCTGAGTGTGAGGTGACCTGTGTGAAGTGTGTCCTGAGTGTGAGGTGACCTGTTAGTGTGAGGTGACTTGTGTGAGGTGATCTGAGTGTGAGGTGACCTGTGTGAAGTGTGACCTGAGTGTGAGGTGACCTGAGTGTGAGGTGATCTGAGTGTGAGGTGACCTGTGTGAAGTGTCCTGTGAGTGTGATGTGATCTGAGTGTGAGGTGACCTGTGTGAAGTGTGTCCTGTGTGATGTGATCTGAGTGTGAGGTGATCTGTGAGTGTGAGGTGATCTGAGTGTGAGGTGACCTGTGTGAAGTGTGATCTGTGAGTGTGAGGTGACCTGTGTGAAGTGTGTCCTGTGAGTGTGAGGTGATCTGAGTGTGAGGTGACCTGTGAGTGTGATGTGATCTCAGTGTGAGGTGATCTGAGTGTGAGGTGACCTGTGTGAAGTGTGTCCTGTGAGTGTGATATGATCTGAGTGTGATGTGATCTGAGTGAGGTGACCTGTGTGAAGTGTGACCTTTGAGTGTGAGGTGACCTGTGTGAAGTGTGACCTGTGAGTGTGAGATGTCCTGTGAGGAAGCCCCAGGTCCCTACACTTTGCTTCTCCCGGACACGTGCCCTGGGTGGTGCCGCTGATCACGGTGCGGGCCGCTCCCCCGGGCCAGCTTCTACCGCGTGCCTGCTGTGAGCCGCGCGCCGCCCCGATCCTCAGGGGGTTGGGGGACATCCTAAGTGCGCTTCTTAAGTCCTATTTTCTGATGTGAAGACGGTCATGCGCGGTGTGGCAGCGTGGGGACAGCGTGTGCGGGGGGCGGGGGGCGTCCCTGGAAACGGGGCGAGGGTGGCGGAGCGTCACCGAGGAGAGAGGAGTCGCCCCAGGCGGAAGGTGACCGGCAGGGGGCGCTCCGTGGGCGCCGCCGCGTGTTCCCGCTCAGAGGGAGACGCCGGGCGGCCCCACGCGGCCTGGTTCTCGGCGCCCACGGCCCGCGGCGCGGGGAACTCACCGTCCTCTCCGTGTCCCTGAAGATCTCCCGGGCCTCCTCGAAGGAGCACTGCTCCTCCTTGCACTCCCGCTCCAGCGAGCCGGCCCGGAGCTCCTCCAGGAACCCGTAGGCGCGCCGGGGCCTGCGCAGGACGCCGTGGGCTTCCTCCGGGGTCAGGAAGACTGAGGAACGGGAGCCCCGTGAGACGCTCGCCCCCGGCCCCGCCCCCCCGCCCCGCCCCGCCCCGCGCAGCTCTGGGGTCGCAGGTTCGCTCCCGTCCCGGGGGAGGGGAGCGGCGCGACGGGGGACTCGGGGCCTGCGCCGCCGGTAGGTCTGGCCGGTGTCCTCCCTGCGGTGCTCCCCGGGCGGCCACCCCACTCCCTCCTCCTTCCCGGCCTGGCCTCCCGGCTTCCAGGAGCTGATCCCGAGGGCGCGCCCAGGGGCCCACGCGGAAGCTGAGCCGAAAGGGGGCCGCGGGCGCCGCGGCGGAAATGAGATGCTGGGGTTGACGCCTGGCGAGAAGGCGGCGCGGCCGGGGGCGCTGGGCACCCCCTGGGGCCACGTGACCCGCCGCCAATGCCGCGGGGGCCCTGCACCGCCGCCTGCGGCAACCCAAATTCCTCGTCTCCACCCGCACCGCGTCCCCGGCGGCCAGGCCTGCGGTCCCCAGGCCCCTGTGTGGTCCCAGGCGCGGGCCCTGCCCGGCTCCCCCACACCGAGCCCTGGCTTCCTCGCTAGCTCCGGGCAGTCCTGGGCTCCTGCGCCTTCCCCGCCCCCGCTCGGTGCCCCTCGGTCCCCGGCGACCCCCGGAGCTCAGGACCCCGCGGATCCTCCTCGGGCCGGTCCTGAGGGCACAGCGCCCCGGCGCAGCTCCCGGCCTCGCAGTAACCCTGAGGCTACTCGTAGGCACCCGCGACCCCGCCCTGCTTATGGGAAAACGGGGTTGGGGAGGGCCAGGGAGGCCCCGGGCGAGGCGCAGGCGGTTCCTCAGGACGCCCCGCAGCCGAGGGGACCGCCTCGCGGAGCGCGGAGTCGGGCGCGGGACGGTGGTGCTGAGAGCTGTGGACGCCACGCGGAGGCGGAGTGAGGAGCGACCCTCCCAGGGCAGTTGCGCTGCCTGAACCCGCCCCAGCCGGTGCGGGAGAGGGAGGCCCGGGAGGAGGCGAGCGGGGCGGAGGGGAAAGCGGAGGGCGCGTTCGGAGGGACGACCAGGCCGCCCTTGCTGGGAGGACCGGCCTCAGCGGCTCGCAGGCCGCCGGTGGGCAGGAGCCCCGAGTTCTGCAGGAGCGGCCTCGGGAACGCGGAGCAGAAGTCAGTTACCGATCGTGGAGGAAGGGACGGAAGGTGGGCGCCACCGGGCCACGTGGGGCCGAGAGAAACGCCACCGCCTGTTTCCTATGAAAGCAGCTTCACACGTCGACGTCCCTAGAGAACGATCTGGTCGGGAAGGAGAGACTGAGGGTGCACAGGCGGGGACTCCAGAGAATCGAGGCTCCGGGAGGTGGGAAGTCCTGGACTAAGTCCTCACAGGAGGTGCCCCAGGCAGCAGGAGTGCGGAGGGGAGGCCTATGTCCCTACAGCCTGGGGACACCCACAGCCTCGAGCTACCCACATATCTGGGACGCCCACGCCCCTGGGACACCAACACCCCAGGACACCCACACTTCTGCGACATCCACACCCCCTGGGGTACTCCCAGGACACCCACACCCCTGGAGGCTGGCGTGGGCAGAGCCGGTGACTGCCCTGGGATGAAAGCAGATTTGCATCAGAAAATCCCTCCACACTTTGGGAGACTGAGGAGGACAGGTCATGAGGTCAAGAAATCAAGACCATCCTGGCCAACATGGTGAAAACCCGACTCTACTAAAAATAGAAAACGTAGCCAGGCATGGTGGTGTGCATTTGTGGTCCCAGCTACTTGGGAGGTTGAGGCAGGAAAATCGCTTGAACCTGGGAGGTTGCAGTGAGGCAATATCGCACCACTGCACTCCAGCCTGGGCAACAGTCTCAAAAAAAATGAAAGAAAAGGAAAACTCTCAAGAACTGAGGCAAACCTGACGAACACATGCTTATTGAGAAGGGACAGAATGGAACAAAGAAGAGAAAATCGCCTGCAGCCCCAGGCCCAGGGAAGGCTGAGCTGGAGCGGTCACTCCCTCTGGAGCAGGGAACGCCCTCTTTCAGGGGCACCGCAGTAGCCACGCCGTGTGCTGGCTCTTTGCCATGGGAGGCGAAGGAGGTGGTGTTGGCCCCTACTAGCTCCCGGGACAGAACCAGGGTCAGCCCTGCTCGCCTCTATGAGGCCAGGCTTCCACAGCACATCCTCTGTGTTCTCCTCCTGAGGCCTCAGCCACCCCGCCTGGGGCAGGAAGGTGGCTGGGGTCACAAGTCCATGCTGTGAGCTAGGCTGCAGCCTCACATCCCAGACTCTGTCCCCCACAGCCCATGCCCCACTCGACATCCCCTCAACCCCCACCCCACGTGCTGTTTCTCAAGCTCCACCCCCCCCACACCATCCCCCATACCCCACGTCCAGTCCCTCAGACCCACACACCCTTTCCCATGCCCTATCCCCAACACTGCACCCCTCCCATGCCCCACACCTTTCATCCCCACACTCCATTCCCCCCACGCTCCATCCCCCACACCCCACGTCCAGTCCCTCAGACTCACACACCCTTTCCCATGCCCTATCCCCAACACTGCACCCCTCCCATCCATGCCCCACACCCTTCATCCCCACACTCCATTCCCCCCACGCTCCATCCCCCACACCCCACGTCCAGTCCCTCAGACCCACACACCCTTTCCCATGCCCTATCCCCAACACTGCACCCCTCCCATGCCCCACACCCTTCATCCCCAGTCTCCATTCCCCCCACGCTCCATCCCCCACACCCCACGTCCCCCTCCCATGCCCCACACTCCATGCTCCACACCCTCCATCCCCACACCCATTCCCCACACCCCATGCCCCACACCCTCCATCCCTCACATCCCATTCCCGGCACCCCACATGCCTTTTCCCACACCCCACACCCCATCCCCCACACACCGTTTCCCTCACCCCATCCCCCACACATCATTTCCCTCACCCCATCCCCCACACAGTTTCCCACACCCCATCCCCCAGCCCCATATGCCGTTTCCCACACCCTATCCACCACATCACAGGCGCCATCCCCCATGCACTGTCCCCCAGAGGTCCTCCCCAGCCTGGGAGCAGCCTGTGAGTACCTCCCGGACACTGAGCGGCCCCAGACTACTTGTGTTTGTCAGACCTCACAGGCAGGGTCTCATGGAGGCCAGGAAAGCAACAACCGCTCCTAACGTTCGTTGAAAAAGCCTGAGCCACCAAGAAGGGCCTTCCCACTGTCACACAGCATGCGCTTGGATGCCGGTTTCCAGAAGGAAAGAAATGGAGCAGGAGCCCCCAGAAAACCCTCATGGCAGGTGGGGGTGTCCAGAGCAAGGGTGGGTTTGGGAAGCCCTGGCCTGCTCCTGGGATTTGCTTGCCGCCCTTCCACCAAGTTTACGGGGAAAGCCTCCTGGACGCACCTGCAGCCAGACAGCCCTGAAGCCCAAGCAGAAGGCAGAGGAGCCGGTTGGCCTGGGAGGCCATGATGACTCTCAGCAGCGCAGCCCCTGCCTGTTGACATTCCCCATGGGACGGGCGGGCAAAGTTCTCGGCCTCTAAGGGTGACAGAGGGATGGGGGAGGGGAGGACAGAGCGGCACCTGGCCAGCCAGTGGCCATACACCCCCTCCTACCAGCCACTGAGCTCAGGCTGGGAGAGCAGGAGCAAGCTCTGGCGGCCTCAGCTATGCTGCAAAGCTGGTGGTTTGCTGCCAGGGTGCAAGTGCTAAGAGGTGCGTGTGGCACTAACACTTCAAGTCTGATCTAGAATTCCAAACCCCTAGGACATAGGAATGCAGGTTGGGAAACATTTAAAGTGCCGATGAAAAGCTGTCCTGTGGCCACAGTGCAAGTCAGATCTCCAGAGTGCATCTTGGGTGTGGATGTCGGTGTCTGAAGAGAGCCTCCAGGAGACCAGGCCAGCTGGGCCGTTGCCTACAAGGGAGGCTGGTTTCCCAGGTGAGCCACAGAGCCTCACTGAGAAGTGCCGGGAAGAGGAGAGGATTGTTCTGGCTCTGAGCTGGGCCCCCGCTCACTTTGACTGTGGGCAGCATCCCCATTCTCCAGCAGTCCATGTCTTATGTCATTCTTTGTTTTTTGTTTTGTTTTTTAAGATGGAGTCTTGCTCTGTTGCCAGGCTGGAGAGCAGTGGTGCCATCTCACTGCAATCTCCACCTCCTGGGTTCAAGCAATTCCTGTGACTCAGCTTCCCGAGTAGCTGGGATCACTGGTGTGCACCACAGGGCCTGGCTAATTTTTATATTTTTTAGTAGAGATGGGGGTTTCACCATGTTGACCAGGCTGGTCTCGAACTCCTGACCTCAGGTGATCCACCTGCCTCGGCCTCCCAAAGTGCTGGATTACAGGCATGAGCCACTGTACCTGGCTGGTGGTGGTCCATGTCATTTCTTCACACTCTCCTGGGCCCAAGCCACAGGCTGTGGTGACCGGCCACCCCAGGTGCCCAGGGACTGAGGTTCTCAGGTCATGGGATTTCCCATCCCAAGGGGTGGGCGGTCTCCCAAGCCTCCTGAGTTGCCTAGAGGCCTGGCCGACCGCTCTAGCAGGGAGTATCCTCTGTTGAACAGTTGCATTGCTGATGACTTCTTTGGGATCCAAACCATGCCTGCACTCTCTGAGGTCCAGCTCTTCTTACAGCTGGAGGGAGGGAGAATGTGTCACTGTGCTCCAGCCTGGGAGACAGAGGGGGACCCCGACTCCCTCCCCACCAGAGAATCTCTGTGCTCACACTTGTACCAGAGCACCACACTCACACAACCCAAACTCACACCATACACCACACCCCACACACACTACACACACCCCTACACATATGCCACTCTCACACCACACCGCAACTCACACCATACACATGCCACACTCAAACCCTAAAGTCACACCACATAAACACACGCACCCCTATACACACGCCACACTCCCACACACATGGGATTTCCAGGCTTTTCCACATCCATAAGAAATTGGAATCTCAGGGCAGGTCCCAGGAATAGTACTTAACACCAGGGAAATAGGCAGACGCTAACCGGATTTCAGCTTGGACACCAGCTGGTTCCAAATCCTATTTGGTGCCACTGGAAGCAAGCGTTCCCTCTGAGGGAGGGTGTGGGGCATGGGGAGGACAGAGGAGCTGTGTGTACCGACGCCGGTGTGCCCTGTGCCCGGGAAGCCGCCATGGCAAGCTGTGTTGCAGGCCAGTTCCAACGAGTCTGTGCTGGTGAGGAAAAGCCTGTGCTAAGCAGGCTTCTGCTGCCTGAGCAGAGAAGGGAGCTGGACCCGGGCACCCCGTCAGCCATCAGAGTGGGGGCTTGCTCCCTCGACCCACCCAGGTGCTGTCTTCTTGGGGCCACAGCTGGAGGCAGCTGAGCCCTCGGGCCTGCCGGCGTCACACTGGTGCTGTATGAGGCTGAACAACTTTCAGTTTAAGGACGAGAGAATGTGTGGAAGGCTGAATGGTTATGATTTGGAGCAGAATTTGTCTTCTCTGGGCCTTTGTCCTGCTTTTCGCCCTTGTCCAGGGTCTGAGTGTGGCGAGAAATTCACCAGGGGTGTGCTCAGATGTGTCCCTCTTTTCTTTCTGTCCATCTCTTAAAGTGTAGCTGTTTTGTCCTTTGTAAGAAATGTATCCTTACCGTAGGCAATAAGAAAATTCTGTTTTCTCATAATAATCTTAGTGTTTTGATCTTAAGTTTGGGAGATGATGGGTCTACTTTTATGCCATCATCCACATGGCAGGGCAGCTGTCCCAATAATGCCGGTTCCTGGAGGCCGTGCCGTGCCACTGGTTGACCAGCCCCAGGACGAGCCAGGTACTTGCACACATGGGAATCTGAATTCTGCTCGGCCAATTTAGCCTCGCTCCCCTCATCACGACTGACGGCAGGTTTACGATCTGTCCAGACGCCTGGTAGGTGAGCCCTCCCCTTCCTGCCTCTGCTCCCCGAATCGCCATGGCTAGACTTAGACCTTTATCTTCTATGTATGTTACAATCAATTTACTAATTCCACAAAGAATCCTGTTGGGATTTCGATTAAATACACAGATTAATTTGGGGGAGAGTTAACATTTTAGTGATACGGAATTGTTCCATGCAGAAAAATCTCCCATTTAGGTCTGCTTTCACGGCCTTCTATCAGGTTTCATAATGTTGTCCAAAAATGTTACATTTATTTTAAGTGTGGTTGCTGTTAAAATGGTGGTGTCATTGCTAGGAATATTAATAACGTTTTGTGGGTTGATCTTGTGGACGTCTTAGTTCAATAGTTTATGAATTCACCTGGGTTTTCTAGACATGAAAAGTTATTTTTCAATTAGCATGACTTGTTTCCTTTTTCTTTTTCTGAGATGGAGTTTCACTCTTGCTGCCCGGGCTGGAGTGCAATGGCATGATCTTGGCTCACTGCAACCTCCGCCTCCCGGGTTCAAGTGATTCTCCTGCCTCAGCCTCCTGAGTGGCTGGGCTTACAGGCGCGCACCACCACACCGGACTAATACTGTATTTTTAGTAGAGACAGGGTTTCTCCATGTTGGTCAGGCTGGTCTCGAACTCCCAACCTCAGGTGATCTGCCTGTCGGCCTCCCAAAGTGCTGGCAGAACAGGTGTGAGCTGCCGCCAGGCCTTCTTTCCTTTCTCTTTGTTGTGATAATCACTAGTATGGCTGCTAAACTGCGCTGGATAGTGCTGGGGTCCCTGTTCAGTTCTGCCGCCAGGGGGGACGGTTCTAAAGGACTCCAGTACCTTACATTTTTGCTGCAAAGATTTTGTTAGATATACTTCATTTATTTAAAGAAATTTTCTTCTACTGGTTAACATGATAAATAAATGCTGACTAAAAATTGAATTATTGTTTTGCATTTGTTAAGCTGGTGGTTTTCCCCTTCACTTTGTGGATATGGCAAATTATAGCCACATTAACATACTATGTCTTGCATTTCTGGGATGAATTTATTTGCTCAGAACATATTACCTTTATTTGTAACATAAAATCGGGTTTTATTTGATTATATTTTCTTTTTTTTTTTTTTTTTTTTTTTTTTTACTTTTGAGACGGAGTTTCGCTCTCGTTACCCAGGCTGGAGTGCAATGGCGCGATCTCGGCTCACTGCAACCTCCGCCTCCTGGGTTCAGGCAATTCTCCTGCCTCAGCCTCCTGAGTAGCTGGGATTACAGGCACGCGCCACCATGCCCAGCTAATTTTTTGTATTTTTAGTAGAGACGGGGTTTCACCATGTTGATCAGGATGGTCTCGATCTCGTGATCCACCCGCCTCGGCCTCCCAAAGTGCTGGGATTACAGGCATGAGCCACCGCGCCCGGCCTATTTGATTATATTTCATTTGGAATTTTTGCATTCATTTTATTTTTTCTTACATTATCTTTTTGTTTGGTTGCTTTTGAGGGCAGAGTCTTGCTCTGTTGTCCAGACTGCAGTGCAGTGGTGCAGTCACAGCTCGCTGCGGCCTTGGACTCCTGGGCTCACTTGCCAGGTCTCAGCCTCCCAAGTAGCTGGGACTACAGGTGTGTGCCACCATGCCCAGCTAATTCTTAAATTTCATGTACAGATGGGGTCTTGCAATGTGGCCCAGGCTGGTCTCAAACTCTGGGCCTCAGACGATTCTCCCACCTTGGCCTCCCAAAGTGCTGGAAGTATAGGTGTGAGCCACGTGGCCCCGCTGATTTTTTTCTTACATTATCTTTGTCAGGTTTGGCTACCAAGGTTAAACTTCCTTCGTAACTTTGTTGAGTTGCTTTCTCTTGTTATATTCTTTTAAATAGTTTTAATAAATATGTTTGTATGCTTATAAAATCACCTAATCTGGTATCTGGAGTAATTTTTTTTTTTTACTGCAATGCAATTTCTGTAATTGTTATTCCTTTACCCAAGTATTTTATTTCTTCTTGACCAATTCTAACAAATTCTACTCTGTTTTCAAATACATTGGCAGAAAGGTGTTCATAACAGTTCTCTCATATTTAAAACTTTTTATTTGATATGGAGTTTCTCAGATTTTCTATAAATCAGTTTTATTAGGTTTTTCAGGTACAAAGTCTGAGTTTTGCTTTTGATTTTGTTATTCTCTTTTCTCAATTGTAATTGAGAGAAGCATTTACATAGTTTCTTTGGGTTAGGCTGGTCTTACTTTTTGGCTTAAACGGTTAACTCACTTATTTTGTCATGTATAAAATCAGACACCACTAAGCTGCCAAGGCCAAGCTGAGCCGTGGCTGTTCCTCTTCCGTGGCTCTGTGCGTCCGTCCAGTTCTAGAGAGCAGAATCCTGCATCCCTACGGCACTGCCTTTCCAACGGTGAGTTAGAAACACGCTTTAAACTGCCAGTTTCCATGGTCTTCCCACTGTTTGCTAAATATTTTTCTTGTGCTCCATGTGTGCTGGAAAATAATGCAGGTTTATCTGTGTTTAGGGATAAACGGGGATCACTTTTCATGACCGTCAACATCTCACCCAACCGCCAACTTGTGCTGCGTTTTGAGCTTTATCGTCAGCTGCTTCTGAGCTCCTGATTGCCACGCAGCTGCGTCTCTATTAACCGTCCTGAATTCCACTTCATGCTATCGACACTGCTACACCAGATTTCTTTTGGTTAGTGTTTGTGTGTTCTGTCTTTTTTCTTTTATTTTCAATCTTCGATCTTTGTATAGTTTTGCTCGATGGTCTCTAAGTGGTTACTTGTTGCGTCCGATGCCATGCTCATCCAGGAGGCCAGCTTAACACAGTCACTCCCGTCTGTTGTGAGGCAGACCCATCTGGGCGCTGTCTTCATCACATTTAGTTTCCTGTTCACACACGTTCCCCTTTCTGCACCCTTCCCTTCCTCTGCCGGATCAGCAATACCCTCTCTGTGCTCCCTTTTCTGGTCAGGAGCATGCTGGCGGCACTGTGCTCTGTGACGGCTCCTCTGCGCCTCCTCCGCTGCTTTCGCGTTTCCGACACGCTCAGCCTTGCTGCTGTCTTGTCGTCCTCACTGTCTGACACACTGGAGCAAAGGGGCCGTTTGGTGCCAGAGCCTCATGTCGGGCCCTGCTCACTGCCCTGCTCTGTTCCGTCCCAACACCGACTCGCCGTGTGCAAGCACAGCCCTGGGGACCCCGACGGCACAGACGTTCTGTGTCTTAGACAAAGGCAGGCAGACGGCAGGAGTTGCTGATATTTATTCAGACTTCATCCATACAATAAAGAACTCTGCTTTTAAAATTTCATTTACATCAGCAGTTAAAAAAAAAGTGACAGTGGATGAAACATGAAGCTGTAAAGTGCCTTTATGGAGAGGGTCACACAAGGGCACGCAGCTGCACCATGAGATGGAGGCACTGCGCCCTCACAGCACATCGGGGACGTAGGACACAGCAAGTTCCAAGTAACTTATACATCAGAGGAAAAGCTACTGAGTCTCTGCACGCTCCCTATGTAATTCTGCACCCTGGAGGTCTGGCCAGTGATGGCTGCAGGCCACCACCAGGAGGGGAGCATGAGGGGAATGCAGCCATGCCCGCCTCCACTGCGCTGGGGCCACAACCATGAGGCGGTGAGTCGGCGCACCCAGCAGCATGGGGACGGCGAACGTGCCCTTTCCGGCGAGGCATATGTACACACATGGTCAGAGGTGCACACATACAAAAATATCTGCAGACCAGACACCAAAAAGGCTTCAAAAGAACAAAATATGTTTCTGAAACACAAGAAGGGTAAAACAGAAGGGGTTTTTCCAGTTCTGCTGTGACTTAAATAAAATAAACTCTCCCCACTTACACTTCTTACCCAAGATGGTCATTGGGTGGCAGGTGGACCTGGAGGGTGGCAGGGGGCACGTGGGGGGAGTGGAGGTGTGGCCTCCGAGGAGGCTGCGGTGCAGTGAGGCAGGGGCAGGGCTCTCTGAGCTCAGGTCAGCAGTGCTGGTGCACACGACACCCTGCAAAAACGGCATCTTCGTATTTTCTTTAAAAGCAATAAAAATATCCTAATCCAGTGGAGCTCTTTAAAAAAAATCAAGTCCCTGCATTTTATTTTTGTAGAAAAGAAGGTTAACTGTTTAAATTATGGTTTAAATTTTCTTTTGAAAATGAAGTGTCTGCAGGTGAAGGAATCTCCTTGGCTTCTGACCGCTTTTGGTGGTGGAGATGCCACCAGGGGCATGTTTTCATCCACCTGTGAGCAGGGAGCTCAGGGAGTGCCATCTGTTTCCCACAGGAGGGTCCCAGAGTCATGCCGTGGTATAAACAACATGCTTCTATGTAAACCCCGGTAACAAAAAATAGTTTTCTATCAAATACAGTATCAAATTGTCATTTCGTGTAAACACAGTGATTCCTGGTAAAGAATTGAGGCCAAAGTACCACAAAAAATGGCCATGGGATTGATCCCTGCTTAAAAAAAAATCCTAAAACTTGTAAATACAGAGTCCCCATGCCCTGCTCCCCTCAGGCCATTGGTCAGAGGATCTCACCCTTCTCCGGGACCAGCTCCCTGGTCTGCGTGCCCCCGAAGGCACTGTCCGGAGGCAGAGACAGCGCAGTGGAGCCAGGGTGAGACACCGCTGCCTGGCACTGCCTGCCAGGGCTATTCCCAGCAGTCCCTCCTCGGCGGGCTCTGGAGTCTCCAAGGAAGGCCCTGTGGTCCGGGGTCTTCCGTGGAACCAGCCTCTGCCCCGGAGGGGTCCTCTGCAGCTCACACAGCCAGGAGCTCTGGGTCTGGGCGGTGAGGTGCCCCTTCCTGGGATGTCCGGGGGCACCGTGCCCTCCTCATGCCACGCCAGCCCTCGCAGCGGCAGTCCCCAGAGCGCGCTGGTCTTCTGTGCCGAGACGGCGTGGCGCTACGCCTGCAGGTTGAAGGGGGCCTGGCCGCCCTCGCTGCAGCTGGATGAGTTGCTCAGCACGGCCGACCCGGGGCTTGACTCTGCGGGGAGATCAGGCGGGGACAGGCTTCGGCGTCCGCTCTCCTGGGCACACACGGAGCCGCTTCCTCACACATGGGCCCTTGGCAGCGTCACGGGTGGGCTTGGAGCACGTGGGCCTTACCTGAGCTGCTCAGGCACTGGGCCGAGCTGGATTGGCCGAGGTGGACAGACAGGCTGCTGGCCGGCACCCAGCCTTCCTTGCCGGTGGTGGAGTCCCTGACATACCTGCAAGGGGTGTGGGTCAGCGGGGGCCATACTCGGGGGGCCTGGGGGGTGAGTGCGGGCTCTTACCAAAGGCCCTCGTCGCCCTCCTGCACCAGCTCCACCACGTCCCCGCTCCTCACAACCAGCGCATCGGGGCCTCCCTTCTCGTGGTCTGCCACGACTGTGTATTTCCCCAGAACCTGGTGGGAGACGGGCGGGGACACAAGCAGCGTCAGCATCTGCCTGACAGCTGCATCGTCTGCTATACACGCAGAGCGCCCCACTGCAGCCAGGTGGAGTGCTGGGCTAGCACCCTGGCCCCGTGGGAGCTCTGGGCTTTGGTCATCTCAGGGAAGAGCTGAGCCTTAGGAGGAGGCCACACCGCAGCTCACAACCATGTCAAAGGCGACAGAACATGTCTGTGACTCTGTCTTTGGGCCCAGTTGCCCCAGCCTCAAGCTGCTCTCCCCACACAGCCCTTGGCCCCAGGCCCTCTGCTCTGCATTCCCACCCCGAGAGGAGGGGGCTTCCCTGCCTTTGGCTCTTGCTGAGGCCTTCCCTGGCACTCCCCAATGCGCCCCTCTTCGGCCCTCTCTCTTCCCCGCAGCTGTCCTGCACAGCCTCTCCAAGCCCCACTCCTCTCCATGCTGCGAGCGGAGGTTCCTGTCTGCTCTGGTCCCACTGTCTCTAGAGCCTAGAACTGCACTTGGCCCCCAGTGGATGCGCTGCACAGATGTTAGAACATGTTTCTCAGGGGAATGGGAACCCGGGAAGTGGCAGCTGTTTCTACAGAGCTGGGAGATCCACAGCGTCCTTGGTGCTGCGTGCGGAGGGCTGTGGAGGGGAGCTGTGGCTGTAGGCCCTGGTGCAGGATGGTGACCACAATGGCCTGTGGTCCCAGAGCAGACAGGACCACTCCCCACACCCCACAGAGAATGAGATCCAAATTCCTCCCCAGGCCCCGTGCGCCCTGGTCCACCAGCCTGTTTCCCCTCCTGCCATGCAGCCTCTGCCTCTGTGTCCCCCACATCTGTTCTCACGCCCAGGCCTTCCTTTGTGCTGTCTCTTTGGGAGAGGCTGTTGGCCCTGAGGGCCCTCTCTGCCCTTCCACGCCTGGCTTCTCTGCCCTTCCAGAGCCTCTGGGACCTGCCCGCTTTGGTCCTGCAGCCTTGGTGCCTGGACTAGGCACAGCACAGAAGGTGCGGCAGACGCTTCTTGGTGTAACCCTCACTGGAATGATAAAGACGCGGCAGCTTTTTCTCACTCTGACATTAACAATGGATGTGTTTCAGATGCAAATCCATGCTTAGGAGTTCCGTTTTGTTACAAAATGAGAGACAGATGTGGGTACAGTTATGAAGGCTCAGTGACAGCATTCTATGACATAAGGGTAGTGGGGTGGGACTGTCTCTTCTGAGGAAGGTGCACCCACCGGTGGCTCCATCGGAGTCTGAGTGGGCACCTGGAAATTAACGCACCAAACACAAAGTGCCACTGAGATGGAGGAGTTAGGAGGAGCTGGGGCTGCCCCTGAGACACAGGACCGGTAGCCTTCCAGGGTTAGGGGGAGCCAGGGCTGTCCCTGAGACCCAGGACCGGTGGGTCTTCCAGGGTTAGGAGGAGCCGGGGCTGCCCCTGAGACCCAGGACCGGTGGACCTTCCAGAAGCACCCCTACTCCTGGAGCGCTGCCCCCACTCCGAGTGCCCGCAGGGAGGCTGTGGTTACCAGCTTCTTGGGGCCCACCCCGCCGTCCTCCTCTGCGTCGGACGAGTTAATCTGCTCCTCTGCACTTGACCAGCCCCCGTCGTCCTCAGGTGCCTCCAGTGAGTGGGATGTTTTGCTCCAACCTAAGAGAGACACAGACACCCATGGAGCACCTCCCAGTGATGAGCCGCTGTCTGTATCCGTCTGAGGTAGGGTCACCTAAGTCCCACAGACCCCCTGAAATGTGCGCCGTGGGCCCCCAAACAGAGCCTGTCGTCTCCCCAAGTTCATAAAGAGCTCAGTGGGACACTGAAGACTTCCAAAATGCCTGGCATGGTTCAGGATTTGAGAGCCTCTGCTTCCCCCTGCTGGGCCACCCTGTGGAGGCCGGAATGGGGGGGTAAGGTTGGGGGGAAGCCATGCCCTCGTCAGGCAGAGCACTGCCCCGGAGGCGGCCCCCTGCCGCTGACACCTGACCAGGGCCGGGGTGTGCAGTCAGGGCCACGGTCATGTTCAACACCTAGCAGACCCAGCTGGGAGGCAGTTTCTAAAAGGAATGCTAGAGGCTCATGGAGAAGGCCCGACGCCCTTACCTACGGGATACCGAGGGCTGCGGTCCCCATTGGTGAGAGAGTAGCCCCCAGCACAGCAGCACCGAGGCACCGAACCAGGAGGCCAAGGCCATGCAGGCGCTGAGGTGGAGATGGGCTCTCACCCCCACCATGCAGCTTCAAGCGGGACAAGAGGAAGGAGCTTCTTTCGAACTTGGGACCCTGCGTGTCCTCCTTCCTTACCCTGATCCTCCTGCCAGGTGCCCGGAGGGCAGCACCTTCATTTCCCATTCAGGGGAGACGGGGAGACACCCTTGGGGCTGAGTAAACATGGCAACAGCAGCTGCAGGTGGCAGGGAAGCAGGCAGATGCTGACGGGACTTGAACTTGGGCACAAACTGGTTCCAAATCCTATTTGGTGCCACTGGAAGCAAGTGTTTCCTTGCGATGGAGGAGGCAGGGCATGGGGAGGACAGAGGAGCTGTGGGTATGGGTGCCTGTAAGCCCTGTGCCCGCGAAGCCGCCACGGCAAGCTGTCCTGCAGGCCAGTTCCAATGGCTGACAGTGTCCGTGCCAGTGAGGAAAAGGCCTGTGCTGAGCGGGCCTCTGCCATCATATAGAGCAAGGAGCTGGGCCCGGCACCCGTCAGCCAGCAGAGCAAGGGGCCACTCCCTCCACCCCACTTGGGTGCTCTGCCTTCTAGGGGTGCAGCTGGAGGCAGCTGAGTCAGGCCTGCATCTGCATGAGAATTGAGGACTGTGATTTTCCGGCGGCAGACCTGCAGCCCGGCCTCCTGAGTGCACCTGCAGCGGCCCCTAGTGAGGGAGGCTGAGGCACAGCACAGGCTGGGGGCCCAGGCGCCACCGCTACGGCAGCAGGGACTGGCCTGTGGGCCTGGCTGCCAGCATCCCCTCCCTGTCCAGGCCCACGGTTACTCTGAGGCACTCGGCGTGGGGCCTCTGGATAGACAGAACCAACAATCTGACTGAGGACAGTGGGAACGAGAAAAGGACAGCTGCTGTGTGCAGAGGAGCCAGTGTGACCTGAGTAGAAACCTCTCCACAGGGGCAGTGAGGCTGGCCTGCGCTGTGGGACCAAGCGGCTCTGTCCCCGGCACCACCAGAGACACAAAGGGCTTCTGGAGCCGCCGGGGCCTGGGGTGTGCAGTGCTCTCCGAGAGCGCCCGGTTGTAACAGTGCCCCGGGGAGGCCAGCAGCGAAACACTGAGGTCTGACTGTGACCAGGCCGGCACCGCTGCACAAGGAGGCGGGGGATTCTGCGTGAAGGCAGGGGCCGGACCACAGCCGTGTTTTCTGTAAAATAGCCATTGTGCTTTCTTCAATGGAGTCACCATCTGCAGGGCTTGGGAGCGAGCCTGAGCCGTGCCCCAGGCCACACAGGACCACCCGGGCTGTCTGCCACTGATGATGTGGCCCGGCTTCAGCACCACACTGCCTTCCTCGAGACCCTGCAAGGCTGCACCGGCTCCATTCACGGATGAGGAGACGGCAGCAGAGGCTGAGCTTGGCTAACATGCAGCAGAAGCAGCGTTTGGCCCCACAGGGCCAGCCCGGCCCATCTGCTCCACCAGGGACCGGCTCTGTGGCTCCAGGTCACACATGGAGGTTTAACAGACAAGAGTAGCCCCTCCTGGGTGACTGTCACAGGGAAATGCCTTTCTAAGCTCCTGGGGCCTCACAGCAGCGAGCCGGGCACCCACCCACTGGCAGACTGTGGGATGGTCAAGAATGCCAGGCCAGTTCCCTGCCTCTGACCCATGCCCAGGGTGGCGACAGCTTCTGCCTGGATCCTGGGGGTTCACAGTGTCATGGGAGGTGGCTCTGGAGGCAGGTGGGATGGGGAGGCTGGATCTGCTTCACCCCTGGGAACTTTTGCAAATTTTTTGAAAACTCAGGAAGATTCTAAACGTGAGACCCCCCTCCCTGTATTTGAGGTCCTCAACAGGGTCAGGGGAAGCCTTTGGGCTTCACAGGGCAGTTTCCACCCACAGAATGTAAGGGAGGCAGGAAGCAAGAACGCCCGGGTTCAACAGGGTGCTCGGCCTTGTCTGCCCGGGCAAGGAGGGTCTGGGTCGGCCCTGCCAGCTGCTTCGCTCTGTGTCCCCAGCAGGGCGTGTCGGGGCAAACTGTGGCGCAGGGAAGGGGTGGGGAACGGGGTGCCCTATAGCTGACAGCAGCCACTGGGCAGTCAGAACGCACCCAGCCCCGCCCAGCACAGCAGCTATGGCCAGCAGCCACCGCAGGGTTGGGCAGTTTCACGGGCTCCAGACGGACCTGCTGGGAGGAGCGCCGTCCTCAAGGACCTGTCTCCAGAGCACCACACACCGAACACAATGGCGTGTCTGCCTCTGGAGCACAAAGACCCACGCGAGCTTCCCCCTCAGGCAGCCTTGACGGCCACGGACAGCCAGCCGGGCAGCACCCCCGCCAACGCAGAGCGGGTGCCCGAGGATGCCACTCTACCTCGCAGACCAAAAGGAGTCGGGTCGCTCTTTACTTCGTGCCGCTTGGCTTTTTTGTCAGGACTGGTAGGAGAAGCTGCAAGAGGAGGAGGAGGCAGAAATACAAGCGGAGAGAGAGCGTGAGGGACGGAGGGAGCAGGCGAGGGGGCCACCCACGCTCATGTCGGGAGGGGACACCCAGGTTGGCCCCTTTCCACTGGGGAGAAGTAGCTTCTGTGAGCAAAATGCAGGGGGCCGAGGGCTGCGCGGTGACGGAGGGCCGGGAGCGGCTCGGGTGGGGGCTGCGGCACTCAGAGGCGTCCTTTCAGCGCCGTCGCTAGGGACGTTTTCTTAGTTCTGAGCTGGCAGTTTGTAGCACCAGAATCTGTTGTCTGTTTCAAGTTTGAGACCAACTTAAAAACATCTGATCAACTGGAAAACACTCCTAGTTCTCTAGAAAGAGCCTCGTCCGCCCTGGCCTCGAGGGCTTCCCAGAAGAGCTGCCTGCCCTCCAGGGCCGGCCATTTTCCTCCATCTATTGCCCAGCGCGGAGCTCTCTCAGTGAGCAGGGCGTGAGATGTCCCCACCTCAACGGTCCCGTCAGCCCTGCTCACTAGCCATGCCACAAGATGGCTGAGCAGCCCCCGCCTCCGGGAGATCAGTGCCCCGCAGGGAACTCACCCGAGGAGGTGGGAGAAGGTGGGGGGCAGGGAGAGGAAGGAGGTGCTGGAAAGGCAGGACAGCACCCCTGTCTGAAGAAGCCTCCATTTAAAAACTTGCCTTCATTTTTCCAAAGCAAAGTCACCTAAAGGATAACTCCAGTGTCTGTGTGCCGGAATGCTAGACACACAGTGTCAGCGAACATGTGATTTGGTGGAAGGAAACACTGTTGTGTGGCTGCCCTTGTGGACACCCCTAAAGGGTAACTCCGGTGTCTGTGTGCCGGAATGCTAGACACGCAGCAACCGTGAATATGTGATTTGGTTGAAAGAAACGCTTTTGCGTGGCCGCCCTTGTGATGAAGGAGGCACGAATGGTCACCACACAATGCATGACAGACACCACCACGGTGACGGCGGCTTTCGGGTGGGTTCTGCTTTTACCTTTCTGACCTTTGAGGTTACCAAAGCCCTGCAGGGTAAAGCGCTTTCTGGAAAGCGCAGAGCTTTCTGAGGTAGAGCTAGTGACCTCGTCATCTATGAAGGAAGAGAAAGACACAATGCAGGCGGCATCGCAACCCCACGAGGCCAGTCCGGCCGTGAGGGGAGGGGACACAATGCAGACGCAACCCCACAGGCGAGTCTGGCCGTGAGGGGAGGGGACACAATGCAGACAGCATCGCAACCCCACAGGTGAGTCTGGCCATGAGGGGAGGGGCGCCCAGGGCTGCTCCAGTCGCATGCCGGGCCTCCGCCGGGGCTCTCTCTGGGGCTGCCTTTGCTGACCCAGGGGTGCTGCTCTTCTGTAAGGTCCTCAGCTCTGCTAAGCGGGGAGCAGGGGCCCTGAACGCTTGCTCTGCAAACCTTCACGCTGCAGGACGCACACGAGTCTCAGACAGGGGGAGCGCTCCGTGAGCCGCTCTGAGGTCCGGCCCCTGCACACACCCACCTTTGCCCTTTTCGGGGGGCTTTGACAGCGGCGCTGAGCTGCCGTATCCCTCCAGGCTCAGCGGGTCTGTTTTCCTTTCTTCCAGCTTTTTGATGTTCCTTGGGTTTCCTCTTGAGGGACTGATGGTATCAGACAAATGAAAAAAAAAAATAGTATGTTACGTGGTTAATTTTTCAGAACCGAGGATCTGAGGCGTTCGGACATCGCTGAGCTCCCGGCCCAAACTCCAGGCTGTGTCTCCTGCTGCTTCCGAGGGGCACTCGTTTCTAAGCTACACCCCGACTGGCTAGATGAGAGCAAAATCCACCCCGCTAGCTCTGAAGGAGGTTTCTAGCAGGGGAGTGTTTCTTTGTCAAAACTACTGTTCTATGCACTATTTATTTAGGCCATATCCTGTTCCATGAATGATTAAAGGTGGCTTATATCAGAAACAGGATAAAGTGAAAAAAATAAATGAATAAATAAAGAAAAAACAAAGGGGGAAATGTGGCCACCCATGTGCTGGGGCCATCAGCACCCAGGGTCCCAGCTGTGGCACCGACTGTCTCTGCAATGCTCGGGTGTGGCTGTGATCTGGATGGGCTGTGAATGAAATGGCCACACCGGGACGTGAAATGGCCGTGACGCGAAATGGCCACACTGGGAAGAGCCGAGAGGGGCTGGGCACTGCCAGCAGCACACATCTGTGAAGTGGACCCTCTAGGACTGACCTGTCAGCACACAACACATCAACACCAGGGGCCTCAAGGAAAACCCCAATAACCACAGGGTCCCGCTGACAGAGGCCAAGGACCCCTGCTTGGGAGTACTCCTGAAATGCAGGCCTGCGTGGTGGCGTCCGCGTCCTCACCTGGTGCTGGTCGGCGCCGGCAGGGGCAAGCTGTGTGACTGCTCCAATGCCCGGTGCTGGCTGGCTTCTGCGAGGAGGGAGTGGAGCAGACAAACCATGTCAACGGGTGTCCCTGCTTCATTGCCAAGGCACCTCGCACAAGCAGGGACTGGGTGGCTGCTCCAAACACGGGGAAAGAGGCACCTGGAGTGAAGCTAAGGGAAAAGGATCGCTGAGGCAGCCTCACCTCGACAAGCCTGCAGCTGGCTGGTCAGCACCTTCCGAATTTCATTCACCCAGGCGGCTTTAATCTCCGGAGTTGGTGCCTGTTTCCCCAAAAGAAACGTCAGGAGGTGAGTCCTCAGGCCCCCGAGGAAACACCCTTTGGTTTCACTCTCGGAACCTCCAAGGAGAGTCTTCGAAGTCAAGGGTCAGACGTGTGAGGGGAGAGGAGGAAGCGCTGTGGACTGGCTCCCGGCTCCCCATGCACCGCACAGGACTGACCAGAAGAGCCGTGCCTGGTGCCCTGGGCCCAGCACCCTCCCCACCATGAGAATGGATGGTGCCTGCGGCCGCAGGCTCACTCTCCAGGGCGGCACGAGCTCCTGCGGGGACGGCGACTGCTGTCCTCACAGAGCCCCTCTGATGTGTCCTTTCCCCACATTGTGTTTGGGTCCAGCTTAGGGTGGAGACAGCCCAGGGCAGCACCCTCAGTGCACGGCGGCTGCTCCTGGCCTTGATACGAGTTTGGCAGATTCTAGCACTGGTTCCCATGAGGAACCTTTCAGGGCGACGGATAAGAGGCCGGGATGGGGTGGGCAGCCCACCTGGACGATGTAGACTTCCTCGCGCGCGTTGTACCAGATCTCGAACTTCTTGGCGTCCCCCTTCACGTTCTCTGTGATGCCGACGGCAGCCATCTGGGAGGAGAGAGCGAAGACGGGTTCACGAGTGCCGTGAGCCTGCCGCCTCATTTTTAAAAGGTGTTGGTGCAGAATCCCCCACCCCCACAGAGACGGTGAGAGCTGAGTCTCCATGCAGCCACCCCAGACCAAGGTTTGTGGTAACAGCGACCCAGTCAGAGGTCTCCCTCCTCCCTCAGGGTGTGCGGCCAGGAGCCTCCTCCTGAGGACCAGCCTCACTTACATTTAGGGACTGCTTGTAGCTGTAGGAGGGGGCTTTCTCATACCCCTCCCCGTTCTCCTCCCGCTTCTTGCAGAAGAGCACGGCCTTCTCATGCAGAAACAGGTGCCGCTGCATGGGCTTGAACCTGGCCAGCTCCTTCACCTTGGTGTGGCCCCTCTTGTGGTCGGTCCAGACGCTGAAGGAGCCCTGCATCAGCAGCTTGCCCAGGTCGCCAAGGTTCCCCTAAAGGAGGGACCGCGGGGTGTGCTCAAAACGGGGTAGGCATGGGGCTGAGGGAGCAGGTCGCTAAGCCAAAGCAGCCGCTCCACAAAGCCCACCCCTGGTGCAGTTCCAGCTGCAGGTGCCCTGGGAGAGGCGAGCTTGTCGAGACCGTGACGGGTTGGGGGTGCCAGGGGCTGGGGGAGGGAGGGACAGACCGGGGGGCACGTGGGCTTCTAGGGCGGTGACGCTGCTCCGTGTGATGCTGTCGTGGTGGGTGCAGGATGTTACATGCCTGTCCAAACCGCAGAACATACGGCACCCACAGTGAGCTCCAAGGGGAACAGCCCTCAGTCACTGATCAGCATTGGGGCCGGTTCTCCACATGTGACATGTTGAATGTCAGCACTAGCAGAAGCCTCGGGGACTCGGACTGACACTCAATTATCTCACAAACCAAAAATTGCTGTAATAAGTCAACTCTACTAGTTTAAAAAACCTTGAGAATGAGTGCTGCACGGACACAGAGAAGGGCAAAAACGGAATAAGCTGACATGGAGCTCTAAGGGGAAAGTGAACATCTGGCTTCTGCGGCCACTTGCTCTAAGTCACCAGCCCAGGACACAGACATCTGCTCCAAGCCATGCCTCCTCCCCAGGAGAAGACAAGGAGCTGAGGAGGTCTGAGCTGCATTCCTGCTGGAGATGTGTGCCCTCCAAGTAGGGAACGCTTCCTGACTTTCTCCATGTCCCAGAGAGCCCAGTGGGGTCTGGACCTGGCTGTGGAGCCTGGGAGAGGGCTCCTCTGGGGACCACCCAGACCTCCTGCTCAGAACCTGCACATTCACACCAAAGCTAGGGGGTGTGCAGGGGAACTGCTGAGCTGCAGGCCTGGCGTATCCCACAGAGGCACCAGGGAAGGCTGGGAGTCTGGGCGCCTTACGTCATAGCCGGTGATGGCGATTAGGTGCATTGAGTCGTTCACGGCCTTCAGGATGCCCAGGATGGAGCTCAGTGCCTCCTGCAGATCCTCAGCCCCCTCGCAGTTCTTGCTGTATTTCAGCATTTCCTGAGGGGTGCAGGGTGGGGCAACCATCAGGACACGCAGAAGCCCCTCGGGACCTTGGCATGAGGTAGGGATGCTGCCCACCCTCCCCTGGTCTGTGGGGAGCTGTCCTGCCCACCCTCCTGCAGCTGGGACGAACTGAGCTGTGCTGCAGATGGGGTGGCACCCCTGCCAGGTGCAGACCTCTGGCACCTGCTCCCTGGGGAGCTTCCTGCCACCACTCTGATGCCCAGGTGCAGACCCCAGCACCTCCTCCCTGGGGAGCTCCTTCCTACCATCCTGATGCCCAGGTGCAGACCCCTCACACCCACTTCCCAGGGAGCTTCTTCTCACCACCCTGACCCTGGCCAAAGGCATGGAGCTGCAGTTTCCTGCCTGAAGGTTAGAGGGGCCCACATGGCAAACTCATAGCTGGAATCTACCATCTACGCCTCCCACATCTCTGCTGTGTACCAGATAATCCGGGCACGGCTCCCCCGTGGAGGGACAGGTCAGCACATCACACAGAATCCCATGTGGGCTGGGCTGTGCAGAAACCCGTGGGGACAGGGACTTGTCTGCTAACCTCCGTCCCCAGCCCCCCGACAGTGGCGCACAGTAGGACCTCCAAAGGTGTCCAAATGAGCCAGGCCACAGCACAGGCTCGGAGGAGGTGTCCTGGGCATGGGAGGGGCAGGGCACAATGGGGACGGGGCCCCAGGGGGCACAGGCACTTGGCCAGCAGGTGCCTTGGGAGGCTGGGCCACAGTCACCGCAGAGCCCACCTTGAGCAGCAGCTGGTACTTGGTGATCCTCTGCACCGGCTTCAGCAGGTACGAGTCCAGGCTCAGCTTGTGGTCCAGCTTCCTCTGGCATTCCTGGAACCAACCCAGAGCTTTGGTTTGCACTATTTTCATCATTCCTCAGGAGTCGGCTGGGAAAGGGAGCTACGCTCTGAAGGAAGGTCTGGGGCACACCTGGAAGAACGGGCAGTCCGAGCACTGCCTCCACAGGCTCTCGGAGCGGGGCTTGTTCTGACAGTACTTCTCGTAGATCTGGAAGTCCTCCATCTGCAGCGAGGGACAGGCACCACATCACCGAGTGTCTCCCCGGCCCAGCGACGCACTGCTGCTCGCCCACAGCTTCCCAGGCCCCGCTGGGGGCCTGCCTCCATTAGTGGGGCTCCCTGTCCCCCACTGACTTCCCAGAGCACAGGTGTGGAGTGGACTGGAGATGGGTCTACCCCGTTGTTCTTTTTTTTTCTTTTCTTTTTTTTGAGTCTCGCTCTGTCACCCAGGCTGGAGTGCAGGGGAGCAATCTGCTCATGCAACCTTTGCCTCCCGGGTTCAAGCGATTTTCCTGCCTCAGTCTTCTGAGTAACTGGGACCACAGGCGCGTGCCACCATGCCTGCCTAATTTTTTGGGAATTTTTTTTTTTTTGAGACGGAGTTTCGCTCTTGTTACCCAGGCTGGAGTGCAATGGCGCGATCTCGCTCACTGCAACCCCCACCTCCTGGGTTCAGGCAATTCTCCTGCCTCAGCCTCCCGAGTAGCCGGGATTACAGGCACGCGCCACCATGCCCAGCTAATTTTTTGTATTTTTAGTAGAGACGGGTTTCACCATGTTGACCAGGATGGTCTCGATCTCTTGACCTCGTGATCCACCCACCTTGGCCTCCCAAAGTGCTGGGATTACAGGCTTGAGCCACTGCGCCCGGCCAATTTTTTGTATTTTTAGTAGAGATGGGGTTTCAATGTGTTAGCCAGGATAGTCTTGATCTCCTGACCTCATGATCTGCCCACATTGGCCTCCCCAAGTGCTGGGATTATAGGCGTGAGCCAACATGCCCAGCCCCAGTCATTCTTAAAAGGCCATTTATGGTGTCATTTGTTGATTTGTTTATAAGAGAACTTCTAGCATTTTCTCTGGCAGTTTTACAAACTACCTAAGTTATTTAGTGAAAAACAGACCCTAACCCTATTGTAAGGTGCAACTGCCCCTGGGTGCCTCTAGGGGCACAGAAGGTTCTAGGGGCATAGAAGGTTTTAGCGCACAGGGCATAGAAGTTTCTAAAGACACAGGAGGTTGTGGGGGCACAGGAGGTTCTGAGGTATAGGAGTTTCTGGGATATAGGAGGTTCTGGGGAACAGGAGATTCTGGGGGTATAGAAGGTTCTGGGGAATAGGAGGTTCTGGGGTTATAGGAGGTTCTGGGGTATAGGAGGTTCTGGGGCCACAGGAGTTTCTGGGGGCACAGGAGATTCTGAGGAATGGGAGATTCTGGGGTATAGGAGGTTCTGGGGACATAGGAGGTTCTGGAGACATAGGAGGTTCCAGGGTACCAGAGGTTCTGGGGTTAAAGGAGGTTCTGGGGTACAGGAGGTTCTGGGGATATAGGAAGTTCTGGGGATACAGGAGGTTCTGGGGTACAGGAGGTTCTGGGGTTATAGGAGGTTCTGGGGTACAGGATGTTCTGGGGATACAGGAGGTTCTGGGGTACAGGAGGTTCTGGGGTTATAGGAGGTTCTGGGGTATAGGAGGTTCCGGGGTACAGGAGGTTCTGGGAATACAGGAGGTTCTGGGGGCACAGGAGGTTCCTGGGGTACAGGAAGATCTAAGGCACACGAGGTTCTGGGGTAAGAAGGTTCTAGGGCACAGGAAGTTCCAGGGATACAGGAGGATCTAAGGCATAGAAGGTTCTGGGGGCACAGGAGGTTCAGGGGTACAGGAGATTCTGGGGTACAGGAGTCTCTGGAGGCACAGGAGATTCTGGGGTACAGGAGGTTCTGGGGATACAGGAGTGTCAAGTTATCTCAGCCAAATTGAAAACATTTGTATTTTGTGACTTCAGTTGGTTAGAATAGGAACTTACAGTAGAATTTGAATTCATTATTCAGTAATTTTAAGAAGTTGTGACAAAATATACATAAAAAAACCACATACCCTCTCCAGAAAGCATCTTCCAACCAGCTCTGGGCAGGCAGTGTAGTTTTCCAGCTCCCTCAGGAATATCCTAGACAGCAGTATGAAAGAGCCGTGGTCACACAGCTTTGGTGACAAACTGATATGAGTTTCCAGAAGTCTTTTCTGCCTTGCTCTGGACAACGTAAGCCACTATGTGGCAACAGTGCCCTGCCTGACTTGGGGAGGCTGCAGCCCACGCCTGCCCTGGGGTGGTTGGGGAGGTTCTGGGGATATAGGAAGTTCTGGGGATACAGGAGGTCCTGGGGTACAGGAGGTTCTGGGGTTATAGGAGGTTCTGGGGTACAGGATGTTCCCCAGGCGCCAGCAGGTATAGCCCAGGGCTGTGTTACTTCATGTTTCTGACCTTGGCTGCACACAGAAGCTGGAGAGCTGCTTTTCCCTCAGCACAAACGGGCTTGCAGGGCCACAGGCAAAGACAGAGATGGGACCTTTCAGGGCCCTGGAGGCACCATCCCCATAAATGGCCGGGGGTATGTGGGTTCTCTGCAGACACCCCAAGCCCTGGCCCTAGGCAGTGCCAAACCCCAGCTCCTGGGCTGTTTGCCCTTTAGTTTCTGACTTGCATCTGTCTGCTGGAGGAAGTCTGGCTGGGGTAGGGAGAACCACCTGGGGGTGGATTCGGGGCATGAACACTACAGCTTAAAGCTGTGGGGACCCCGGCGTGCAGCACTGGCTGAGAGCCTGGGGGCTGTGGGTACAGATGCCCAGGGATGATAAGGGACATGAAGGTTCTGCCCAAGCTCTGTGGACATGGAAGTCTCCTGGGTGGTCAACTGCAGATGTGCTGCCTCCCTGTAAGTAGCAGGTGAGGCGATGATCACGGCAGGAGACAAGAAGCAGGTGTGAGAATGACATCCCAAGCACTGTGATTCCCACGGCTGATGGGGCATGCTGGTCCCCAAGCACGTGACCGCGGGAGCCACCCACCCAGGCTCCTTCCAGGATATGCAGCAGGGGCCATCTACTGCCGGCCTCCCCAGCCTTCTGCACTGCACACCCACCCTACACCTTCCCATGAGCTCCCCCAACTGCATTAAAGTAGCCAAACAGCTCAGAGGAGCAGAGGACAAGCAGCCAGACAGAGCAGTCGCACTGGAGAGGCCACGGGTCGCTCAGGACAAGCAGCCAGACAGAGCAGTTGCACTGGAGAGGCCACGGGTCACTCAGAGGACAAGCAGCCAGACAGAGCAATCGTACTGGAGAGGCCACGGGTCGCTCAAAGGACAAGCAGTCAGACAGAGCAGTTGCACTAGAGAGGCCACGGGTCGCTCAGGACAAGCAGCCAGACAGAGCAGTCACACTGGAGAGGCCACGGGTTGCTCAGAGGACAAGCAGCCAGACACAGACACAGCAGTCGCACTGGAGAGGCCACGGGTCACTCGGAGGACAAGCAGCCAGACACAGACACAGCAGTAGCACCGGAGAGGCCACGGGTCGCTCAGAGGACAAGCAGCCAGACACAGACATAGCAGTAGCACCGGAGAGGCCACAGGTCGCTCAGAGGACAAGCAACCCCCATGACAACTAGGGAACGCCTGGTTTGCCATCCTTTTCAAGAGCTTGGGAACAAAATAGGCCTTGCTATGTGTTGTGGCCGTCGGTGACCTCCAAAGGGCCCGAACATACAAGTGGGAGGGGCTTCCGGCTTCCACCTGCGCAACAGGACGAGGAAGGGATGAGGGAAAGGCGGGTCCTATCTCCTGTACCACAAAATAGGGTGCACTCAGAGGGCTCAGAGCCCTCTCCTCAGGGCTGGTGGCTCACTTAAAACTCAGCTGCCTGGGCACAAGCCACCAGGCATGGTGCCACATGAGCACTCCAAGATGGCTCCACGTACTCACACTCATGCCTGAGCCTCTGTGATCCCACTCCTTGGGCGCTCCTCCCCAGCCAGGTGTGGCCAGATCCCTCCTGTTGCACCCCGCAAGCCAGCATCATTAGCCACAGGAGATCACAGGTGCATGCCTGAGTCTGAGTCGGGAGGACCCACCTGTTGTGGAAGTGATAGATTTCCTCCATGTTCCCAAATAGAACGTCCTTCTTGCTGTGCAGGCCTGTTGAAAGGAGATGAGCCATCAGCGGGTTGTCCATCTCAGCGGCGTAGCCCTGCAGGGAGAGCGCGGAGGTCGGCAGGGATCCTGGCTGCAGCCCACCCATGGCATCGGGCTGTGGTGGGGCAGGTGGGCCAGGGATGCTGCTCTTCTGTGGGCAGGCAGTCCCTTCATCTTTCTTCTCGGTGATTTCTAGGACAGTCATCTGGACAGGCATCCACCAAAGCCAAAGTATTGTGAACAGCACTGACCTGGGGGGATGGCATGGAGGTTCTACCCTTCTCACTTTTAACCTTTTATTATGCAGGTGTAACTGAAACAGAGGCACAAATCTTATGTTTACACTCGGGTGACCACCACCTGCTCACATTCAGTAAATCAGAACCTGACTACACTCAGGTGACCACCACCTGTGCACACCTGGTAAATCATGGTAACTCAGACACCTGTCTACAGTCAAGTGACCACCACCTGTGCATGCTCAGTGAATAAGACACCTGTCTACCCTTGGGTGACAACCACCTGCACACTCGGTAACTCAGACACCCATCTACACTCAGGTGATCACCACCTGTGCACACCTGGTAAATCAGACACGCATCTACACTTGGGTGACTACCACCTGCACACACTCAGTGACTCAGACTCCTGTCTACACTCAGGTGACCACCACCTGTGCATGCTCTGTAACTAAGACACCCGTCTACACTCAGGGGACCACCATCTGTACATGCTTGGCAACTCAGACACCCATCTACACGTGGGTGACCACCACCTGTGCACACCTGGTGAATTAGACACCCATCTATACTCAGGTCATTACTATCTCCGCACACCTGTCTACACTTGGGTGACCACCTGTACACACCTGGTGAATCCGACATCTGTCTACACTTGGGTGGCCACCACCTGCACACATTCAATGACTCAGACACTCATCTACACAGGCGACCACCACCTGTGCACCCTCGGAGAATCATATACTCGTCTACACTCAAGTGACTACCACCTGTGCACACTCGGCGAATGAGACACCTGTCTACACTCAGGTAACCACCACTCACATCAAGCTCAGCCAGGCAACAGCACACTGGCAAGGTCACCCCCATCCTGCCTCCCACCCCAGACCACTTTTGCTTGCCCTGGAGTGCTGTGTGCCAGGAACTGCACATACTCTGTGGCCTGTGTTCATGAGGATGGGTGTGCGTTTCCTGTGTCTGCTGTGTCAGCTCCTCTTTCTTGTTACTACATGGGTCCCCTGTGCAGATTCCTCTGAGCTGCCTGGTCCCTATCCTGCTAATGGGCCCTGAGGGGCTCCCTGTCTTGGGCTGCTCTGGGCCCTGAAGGAGGTCCCTGTCTTGGGCAGCTGTGGGCCCCCAGGGGGTCCCTGTCTTGGGGCATCTGTGACCAGGCTGCTGTGGGCCCCCAGGGGGTCCCCGTCTTGGGGCATCTGTGACCAGGCTGCTGTGGGCCCCCGATGGGGTCCCCATCCTGGGGCAGCTGTGACCAGGCTGCTGTGGGCCCCCGATGGGGTCCCCGTCCTGGGGCAGCTGTGACCAGGCTGCTGTGGGCCCCCGATGGGGTCCCTGTCTTGGGGCAGCTGTGACCAGGCTGCTGTGGGCCCCCGATGGGGTCCCCCTCCTGGGGCAGCTGTGACCAGGCTGCTGTGGGTGCTCTTTCACATGCATTTGGTGGACAGCAGCATGCTCCGAGCAGCAGTTGTCAGAGGAAGCCCCAGAAGCTGGTGCAGGTGAGTCTGCATGGCAGTCAGCCCTCCCCGAGTCCAGCCTCACCCCCAGGACACACAGCAGCTCCTACGCTGGTGCAGGTGAGTCTGCATGGCGGTCAGCCCTCCCCGAGTCCAGCCTCACCCCCAGGACGCACAGCAGCTCCTACGCTGGTGCAGGTGAGTCTGCATGGCGGTCAGCCCTCCCCGAGTCCAGCCTCACCCCCAGGACGCACAGCAGCTCCTACGCTGGTGCAGGTGAGTCTGCATGGCGGTCAGCCCTCCCCGAGTCCAGCCTCACCCCCAGGACGCACAGCAGCTCCTATGCTGGTGCAGGTGAGTCTGCATGGCGGTCAGCCCTCCCCGAGTCCAGCCTCACCCCCAGGATGCACAGCAGCTCCTATGCTGGTGCAGGTGAGTCTGCATGGTGGTCAGCCCTCCCCGAGTCCAGCCTCACCTCCAGGACGCACAGCAGCTCCTCCACGTAGGCCCGTTCTGTGTCCAGGAGCTCACTCATCACGTGCCTGATCACAGGTCGTGTGGAGAGAAAGAAAGGTTAGCACTGGGAGGGCAGGAATGGCCCCACCACAGTCTCACATGCACACCTAGAATGGCAGACTGCCCAGTGAGAGGGCACTGGTGGAGACACTAAGCCCACGGGCTGGACACTCCTGGGGGCTCCCCTCCTAGCTTGTGGCCTCAGACCCCGCAGATGGCAGCTGGACCCCTCCCCAGTTCCCAGACCGGCCAGCACTGTCCTACCCCTGGCCTGGCATACACCACTTGGGAGGAGGGATTCCCTGACCTGCCTCCTGGGCTTTTGGGTCCCACCTGTGCAAAATGAGCTCAGTTCCTCATGCTCACGGGCAAGTCATCCTACTCATCAGATCCACCCGTCTCCTCTGCCAAGAAGACCCTGCCCCTGCCCAGCCTCCCTGAGCCTTCCTCGTGGTGTGTATCTGTGTGGGCACTGGTGGCTAGGGCAGGACTCTGGCATTGAGGGAACAGCCCTTGCCCACGCCCTCTCACACACAGCAGGTGGGCAGGGGTGGTCTGTGGTGTCCCTGCACCTGGCACACGGGATCTGGAAGGGGAAGGGACACAAGCTGTGCAGGTTTGTTACGGTGTGAGCGCCTTTCAGCAGCCAAGGCCCCATCTCCTTATGTGATGCACAGAAATGAGCCAGTGGGCTGGTCCTGGGTCCAGGCTATTCAGCAAGGTTCATTCTAAAACAGCTGTCGGCACAAAGAGGCCCCTGCCTTGGCACAGGGTGGGGACTGAAAGGGCTCGGGGGTCCCTTTCACAACCCTGGAACTGCTGGCTGAAAGCCACTCCTTCTGTATCTCAGGGCCAAGCTCTTTCTGCCTCTCCGTGTGGACGCTCCTCTGCCTGGACCCTCCTCCCTGTGGACGCTCCTCTGCCTGGACCCTCCTCCCTGTGGACGCTCCTCTGCCTGGACCCTCCTCCCTGTGGACGCTCCTCTGCCTGGACCCTCCTCCCTGTGGACGCTCCTCTGCCTGGACCCTCCTCCCTGTGGACGCTCCTCTGCCTGGACCCTCCTCCCTGTGGACGCTCCTCTGCCTGGACCCTCCTCCCTGTGGACGCTCCTCTGCCTGGACCCTCCTCCCTGTGGACGCTCCTCTGCCTGGACCCTCCTCCCTGTGGACGCTCCTCTGCCTGGACCCTCCTCCCTGTGGACGCTCCTCTGCCTGGACCCTCCTCCCTGTGGACGCTCCTCTGCCTGGACCCTCCTCCCTGTGGACGCTCCTCTGCCTGGACCCTCCTCCCTGTGGACGCTCCTCTGCCTGGACCCTCCTCCCTGTGGACGCTCCACTGCCTGGACCCTCCTCCCTGTGGACGCTCCTCTGCCTGGACTCTCCTCCCTGTGGACGCTCCTCTGCCTGGACCCTCCTCCGTGTGGACGCTCCTCTGCCTGGATGCTTCTTGGCAACCCCCTCTTCCTCCCCATCCTGTTCCACCGCTTCAGTCGGAAGCTGTAAGTTACGGACTCAGCTTTCACACCAAGCTCGGTTTACTGTAGTCCCCAATTTTGCTCCATCTCCCAACCCTGCAGAGAGACGCCATCACACTGGCACTGCTGCAAACACCGCTTGTTAGCGCGTCACGAAGAGCCTTTCCCCTTCCTAATTTTGGAGTGTTGATGATTGAAAAAGGGGACTTGGTTCCAAGCATCTCTTGCAAACGTGTTCAGTGCAAACATTAAAAAGGGAGGCAGTGTAAAGTGTGAGGAGGGCTGGTGGCGGCGCCTGGTCACTGTGTGGCCTCCTCCTGCTCCTCAAGGGCTGCTGGGAGGGACACGGGCTTTGGCTCTTTCGCAGTTTTGCTCTGGGCCTGCATTCCTGGCCCTGCCCTAGTGAGGTCTTTCTTTCTTAAAGGTGAAGGAGGCCAAGATAGGGAACTGCTTTTGTTCACACAATGCTCCCTGAATTTGAGGACCGGGCATCCCAGGGGAAGAGGCAGGATGGAGACGGTGCCACACCCACATCAGCGACTGGCACCACCACCTCCTGCATGCAGCCCTGAGCAGCCGGTGGCTGGCGCTCGCTGGGGGCTTTGAGCGGTACCTCCTGTGAATGGCAGTGGTGGGTGGAGGCTCTCACTGGGGTGGAGACGCCCCATCACTGCTGCGTTCAAACATCACCCTTTCTTCCCTCCCGAATGCCCCCAGTGGCGTGTGTGTGGCATGTGTGTGCTTCATGTGGTGGGGACCAGACACACGCCCGAGCCACAGCAGGGCCTTAAAAGTAAAAACCACAGTGACTTGTGCACCAGCCTTCTATCTGTGAGGCATCCACTCGAGTGCCCAATGGCACCTGCTGGTTTGGACTGTGGTCGGAGGTCCCTGGGAGGCCAGAAGGGCAGCACACCCACCTGCGCAGGATGGCCAGGCTCTCCTCCTCCTCCCCTGCCGAGCCGCGGCTCTGCCGGCTCTCACTCATCTCACTCTGGGGAGAAGAACAGCATCAGGTCTGAAGGGCGGGATGGAGCCTCAAGGGCCAACTCGAGGCCGGAGCCCACCCGGTTCCCATCTGGGGACAGGGCTGTTTCCACGACAGGAGGGCTGGCAGTGCCTGGAGGGCAGGCCACTTGGAGAACCAGGCACGGTGTGAACCGGGGAGAAGGAGGGCATGGATGGCGGGGCTGTGGCCGCCTAGCCTCACCTTGGCTCTCCGGTAGGGCCCTCTCCGGAGCACGCCCTCGGAGCTGCAGTTCTCGGAGCCTCGCCGGATGCCTGCAGGGAAGAAGGGGAGCGGGGCATGAAGACCCCTCTGACCCTCTGGAGAGGGACGTGTGCCCAGTGGGAAAAGGCCCTGAGAGAGGGCAGAACTCAGCCTCTGAGGCCCCGGGTGGTGGCTCGGGAAGGGGGAGGACCATGCGGTCTCACTGCTCCCCAAGTCATCCCATGTTCCCACAGCCCACAGGGACACAAGCCTGGGAGACCTCCCAACAGGCAGAGAAAAGAACGTTGCCTGGGTCCCCGCTGGGGAAGGCAGGAGCCTGGCCCTGGGCTTCTAGGATTCACAGCTGACTTTCCCACAGCTGGGGCGGCAGCAGTGCCCAGCCGCGTGCCTCGTGGGTTCTCGTGTGAGAAACCAGCAAGGATGGGAAGAGGGTCTGTTCTGAGACACAGAGGTGACAGTAAAGTCTCCGGCAATGGCGCAGTGCCCGGCTTGGTGTAGACGGTGGGGTCGGGACCAGGAACTCCAGGTGGTCTGAGGTGTGTGGACGTGGCTCTTTAGGGCCCTGGGAGCCCAGGGTCTGAGCCGTGTGTGAGGAAGGTGGTTGGCAATGGCACTGGGAAAGGACAGACCACGGGGAGGCTGCAGGTGGGAAAGTCGGAGGTGGATTCTCCGTGGGTGCTCCGCGTTTTCAGTTTTGGGCCAGTCGGGCTGCACTGACACCAGGAAACCCTGCCAGCCTCAGGAACAAACAGCCACCACCAATGCCTATAGGAGGCATGTGGCCAGGTCCTAACAAAACTCCAGTGACAAACGTGGGCGAGGGGCAGCTGGAATCGGCCTCAGGGCCCGAACCTGGCCGGACGTGGGAGGGGAGGACGTGTGGGGACACCGTTTTCATGGGGGCTGCCTCAGACGCACCAAGCCCCCAATGCCTGGGGCTCCCCCGAGGGTCCCACAGCACTCAGGGCAGGGGGTGGCTGCACAGACCTGGGGAGGGGCAGGGCGACTTTGCCAGCGCCTCGGGCCTTGGGGCCACCGGCTGCACGGGCCGCGTCTGCCTGGCTGCCAGCTTCTTCAGGCTGGCCTGCCTGCGGTGGAACACCTCCTCCATGCTCGCCTGCTTCTGGAAGACCTTCCGCACATGCTCCTGAAACCACACGTGCAGTGAGGCACCCCGCACACGCTGGCGTCATCATTGAAAACACATGGTCATGCACAGAACGTGCCGGGGCATGCCCGACCCCCGCTTAAATGTCTGCCAGGTGGGGTCTGTCACTGCCGCGCGGCTGTGTCGAGTCCTGGCCACTATGGACGGTGACGGGGAGGTGGCCCACCCACAGGATGGGGCCCCAGCCTCGGGAAAGGGCAGCCCCATGCCAGGGAGGGAGCCAGGCCTTCCCCAGGCATGTGGAGGGGTCAGGAGGAGCCTGGTCTCGAGGGCATCCCCAGGTCCCAGGGCCAGGCCCTTCCTGAAGGCATGCCGACGCCGTAAAGTCCACCGGGCGGGGAGAGGGGGCGGATGGCCACCTCGCAAGGTTGGCGTGGATAATTTCTGTGTCGAAAGGAAAATTCAGTCCAACCTGCCAACTGTATGTTTCTCTCAAGTGCCCATTATCTGCTAGCATTTCATTAAATGGGCTGGGTGTTATGGCTCATGCCTGTGATCCCAGCACTTCGTGAGGCCAAGGTGGGCGGATCACCTGAGGTCAGGAGTTTGAGACCAGCCTGGCCAACATGGTAAAACCCCATCTCTACTAAAAATACAAAAATTAGCCGGGCTTGGTGGTGGGCACTTGTAATTCCAGCTACTCTGGGGGGCTGAGGCAGGAGAGTCGCTTGAACCCAGGAAGCGGATATTGTGCTGAGCTGAGATCATGCCACTGCTCTCCAGCCTGGGCAACAAAGTGAGACTCCATCTCAAAAATAAATAAATAAATACAAGTAGTTCATCAAATAATTATTTAAAACTTCCCAGGGAGGAATGCCCCACCGCTCAGGACAGCCGAGCTGCAGTGGAAAGCCTGAGTCAGTGTTACCATGAGGTCTTGGTTGAGGATGGATTCATATTCCTTGTAAATCGTGCTGAGCTCCTGGATCTTATTTTCCGTGCCGGTCTCCAAAAATTTCTCAATTTCCTGGAGGGCGGCCTCTGCACCATCCTGGGACTGGCACTTGTCCACAGGTTGTGAGGCCAGCAGGTAAATCCCTTCATCACACCACTTCATGGACTGGAAACAGAGCATTGCCGAAGGCAGGACTCCGTGAGAGGGTGGGCACGGCGCCCTGTCAAGGCCCGCGCTGCCGGGGCACCCTACTGATGGATCCCGGACCACCAACTCATGCTCCCGCTGCCCTGTGTAAGGAACTCCGAGGGGACACAGCGCTGGACGAGGCCATGTGAATTACCCAGGGCGGGGCTCAGGGAATGCGTGGCAGGATCAACCAGGCCGTAAGCTTCTGGTCCTTTTTAAAGAAATCATTATTGGCTGGGTAGGGTGGCTCACGCCTGTAATCCCAGCACTTTGGGAGGCGAAGGCGGGAGGATCACCTGAGCCCAGGAGTTCGAGACCAGCCTGGGCAATGTAGTGAGACTCCATCTCTATCACACACACAAAATACGAGAATTAGCTGGACGTGGTGGCTGCCCCTGTGGTCCCAGTTACTTAGGAGGCTGAAGTGAGAGGGGAAGCAGAGGTTGCAGGGAGCCAAAAAAAAAAAAAAAGAAATCAAACTGTGGCAAATGAATTCTAGAAAAAGACCCGCTAGGCCAAGAAGAACGAGGCCTACAGAATGGAAGGCTACAAGGATATTTTCCAGCCAGGGAGCTGCCTCCCATGACACGGGTGAGCTGGTGGTGGATGTGGGGTGAGGAGGCTGGTTTTGCAGTAGGGGAGGGGTGGGTCTGGCTGGGCCTACCGTCTCCAGGCGGTGGTGCAGTTCCAGTGACTTGCTGAGCAGGCCCCTCCTCCTTGCGATCTCTGCAGAGAACTGGTCACAGAGGTGCCGGAGCTCCTGGCACTTGGGGTGGATGGAGTCCACGGCGTAGTGCTTGTTCTCAATGAGCTGCTCGCCGTCCAGAGACAGGGCCTGGGCCCTCTCCACAGCCACCTGCAGACGGTCACCCAGAGGACCAGCTCAGGCCTCTTTCTGTTTGAGGCAGACGGTGCCTAGCTGTATGGGATGTGTCCCGGGGCACATGTAGGTCATGATTTCTTTGTTAACTGCTTCGGATGACTGAGACGCTGCCTAATCCCTGAAGCTAGTCTGTGGCAGGTGCGTCTGGGGGCTGTGACGGTCCCAGCAAAGGCATTGCCCATCTGCAGGGACCTGACCCAGAGGAGGCTGGGCAGGGCCCTGTGCCCATGGGTGGGGTGAGGGAGGGGAGGTACACAGGTAGCGGCCCCCATGCCTGTGGCCATCCCCCGGGGGGGCTATGGGGGCCCCTCCTCCGTGGGCGGGAGGCTCATTCCTGCACCTTCCTGAGCAGCACTTGACAATGCTGGCCACACCCTCTTGCCACCCCAGCGGGGACTCCGCCTTACGCTGGATCTCTCCTCAAAGCTGGCCAGGTCCCTCAGCAGGTGCTCCACGTGTGCCAGGCTGTTGCCAATGTCTGTGAAGGTCGCTATCTTCTGGGACACCGTGTCCAAGACGGCTTTGACCTGGAACAGAGGAGGGCCCATCTCAGGGGGAGCGTCTCCCTCACCCAAACAGAGAGAACCTGCTCCAGATCAGGAAAATGATGATGGAACTCAAAGTCAAGCCACATGGTCACCAATCAAGTGGGGACATGGGGCCTTCTGGGACGAGCTGCCCATCAGTGACCTCACCAGGACACTTGTTTCTCTGTGGCCTGCGTGTGCCTCCGTTTATCAACCACAACATGGGGATACCTGAAAACAGCATGAGGAGAAGATGAGACTGCACAGGGATGAGGCCCTGGTTGCTGAAAGACAGCAGTGTGGATGGGTGCTGGACTGTCACAGCAGTGAGGACTCCAGATTGTTGCCTTCCTGCAGGATCCCAGGCGTGGGCCAGGAGAGTTCCGTAACTCCGTCCCTTCTAGCTTGCTACTAACCTCTAGTATCTCCAATTTCTGGTATTGGCAGAAAGATAATGGGTGTCCTACAAGTGATTTTTGTTTTTATACTTAAATTTTCTTTTTGAGGTGGAGTTTTGCTTGTCACCCAGTCTGGAGTGCAGTGGCGCAATCTCAGCTCATGGCAACTTCCACCTCCTGAGCAGCTGGGATTACAGGTGCCTGCCAACACACCCCAGCTAATATTTGCATTTTTAGTAGAGATGGGATTTCGCCATGTTGGCCAGGTTAGTACTGAATGCCTGACCTCAGGTGATCGACCTGCCTCAGCCTCCCACAGTACTGGGATTACAGGCGTGAGCCACCACACCTGGCCTGATTTTTAAGACACATAACCACTTATTCCTTTAAATACAAAGGCTTTTAATTTTTGTTAGGAAGTGATCCTGAGAGCCGGGGGTGTATGCAGATGTCCCAGTGCCAAGGGGGGCTGTCATTCAGATAGCCTGGGGTTGAAGGCCAGGAAGGCAGGATTCTTGTCCGTCCTTGAGGCCCCTGTATCTGGCACAGCAGATGTGTGAGACCTCCCTCCATGTTACCCATAGCTGCTGAGTATGGTTAACGCAGCACTCTCAGAAATCAGTTAGGATCTAGAAGAACTCAATGCCATCAGCCAAGAGGATCTAACTGATATTGATAGAACATTACCTCATAATAGCAGAATACGCATTATTTTCAATGAGGAAGATACACCAAGAAAGACCATCTTCTTGGGCCATAAAACAAACCTCAACACATGTATAAGAACTGAAATCATATAAACTACACTCTCTGATCACAATGAATAAAACTTGAAATCAAGAATGGAAAGACAACAGGAGCGTCTCTGAACACCTGGAAGCCAACAACATACGTCTAAACAATTCATGGATCAAAGAGGAAGCTCCCAGAGAAACTGAAAAACAATTGAACTAGATGAAAAAGAAAATACAGTACATCAAAATTTGTGGAACACAGCTAAATCAGTGATGAGAGGGAAATTTATAATGTTCTCATTAAATATGTATGTTAGATAAAAAGAATCATCTCAAATAAAGAATGTAAGCTCTCACCAAAGCAATCCATAGAAATAATAAAGGTAAGAAATCAATTAAATTGAGAAAAGAAAACAACAGAGAAAACTAATGAAACAAAAAACTGGTTCCTTGGAAAGAAGAGGAGTGATACATCTGAAACTAGACTGACAAAGACAAAGAGAAAGAAGCTGCAATTGCCAATATCAGAAAGCAACAGAGAATATCACTACAGACCCTGAAGACATCAAAAAGATAAGAAAGAATCAACAACTGTCCACATGGCCCTGAAAACCCACTACCACATGTCACAGTAAAATAGATAACAACCCTCCACACTGCCCTGAGAACACACTACCACATCTCACTGTGAAATAGACAACAACCCTCCACACTGCCCTGAAAACACACCACCACTTCTCACTGTGAAATAGACAACCATCCACACTGCCCTGAAAACACACCACCACATCTCACTGTGAAATGGACAACAACCCTCCACACTGCCCTGAAAACACACTACCACATCTCACTGTGAAATAGACAACAACCCTCCACACTGCCCTGAAAACACACCACCACATCTCACTGTGAAATAGACAACAACCCTCCATACTGCCCTGAGAACACACTACCACATCTCACTGTGAAATAGACAACAACCCTCCACACTGCCCTGAAAACACACCACCACTTCTCACTGTGAAATAGACAACCATCCACACTGCCCTGAAAACACACCACCACATCTCACTGTGAAATGGACAACAACCCTCCACACTGCCCTGAAAACACACTACCACATCTCACTGTGAAATAGACAACAACCCTCCACACTGCCCTGAAAACACACCACCACATCTCACTGTGAAATAGACAACAACCATCCACACTGACCTGAAAACACACTACCACATCTCACTATGAAATAGATAACAACCCTCCACACTGCCCTGAAAACACACTACCACATCTCACTGTGACATAGGTAACCCTCCACACAGCCCTGAAAACATACTGCCACATCTCACTGTGACATAGATAACCCTCCACACTGTCCTGAAAACACACTACCACATCTCACTGTGAAATACGTAACAACCATCCACACTGCCCTGAAAACACACTACCACATCTCACTGTGAAATAGACAACAACCCTCCACACAGCCCTGAAAACACGCTACCACATCTCACTGTGAAATAGATAACAACCCTCCACACAGCCCTGAAAACACACTACCACATCTCACTGTGACATAGATAACCCTCCACACTGCCCTGAAAACACACTACCACATCTCACTGTGAAATAGATAATAACCATCCACACTGCCCTAAAAACACACTACCACAGCTCACTGTGAAATAAAAAACAACCATCCACACTGACCTGAAAACACACTACCACATCTCACTGTGAAATAGATAACAACCATCCACACTGACCTGAAAACCCACTACCACATCTCACTGTGACATAGGTAATCCTCCACACTGCCCTGAAAACATATTGCCACATCTCACTGTGACATAGATAACCCTCCACACTGCCCTGAAAACACACTACCACAGCTCACTGTGAAATAAAAAACAACCATCCACACTGACCTGAAAACACACTACTACATCTCACTGTGAAACAGGTAACCCTCCACACAGCCCTGAAAACACACTGCCACATCTCACTGTGAAATAGATAACAACCATCCACACTGCCCTGAAAACACACTACCACATCTCACTGTGAAATAGGTAACCCTCCACACAGCCCTGAAAACACACTACCACATCTCACTGTGAAATAGGTAACCCTCCACACTGCCCTGAAAACACACTACCACATCTCACTGTGAAATAGATAACAACCCTCCACACTGCCCTGAAAACACACTACCACATCTCACTGTGAAATAGAAAACAACCATCCACACTGCCCTGAAAACACACTACCACATCTCACTGTGAAATAGATAACAACCCTCCACACTGCCCTGAAAACACTACCACATCTCACTGTGAAATAAAAAACAACCATCCACACAGCCCTGAAAACACACTACCACATCTCACTGTGAAATAGATAACAACCCTCCACACTGCCCTGAAAACACTACCACATCTCACTGTGAAATAAAAAACAACCATCCACACTGACCTGAAAAAACACTACTACATCTCACTGTGAAATAGGTAACCCTCCACACTGCCCTGAAAACACACTACCACATCTCACTGTGAAATAGATAACAACCCTCCACACTGCCCTGAAAACACTACCACATCTCACTGTGAAATAAAAAACAACCATCCACACTGACCTGAAAAAACACTACTACATCTCACTGTGAAATAGGTAACCCTCCACACTGCCCTGAAAACACACTACCACATCTCACTGTGAAATAGATAACAACCCTCCACACTGCCCTGAAAAAACACTACTACATCTCACTGTGAAATAGATAACAACCCTCCACACTGCCCTGAAAACACTACCACATCTCACTGTGAAATAAAAAACAACCATCCACACTGACCTGAAAAAACACTACTACATCTCACTGTGAAATAGGTAACCCTCCACACTGCCCTGAAAACACACTACCACATCTCACTGTGAAATAGATAACAACCCTCCACACTGCCCTGAAAACACACTACCACATCTCACTGTGAAATAGATAACAACCCTCCACACTGCCCTGAAAACACTACCACATCTCACTGTGAAATAAAAAACAACCATCCACACTGACCTGAAAAAACACTACTACATCTCACTGTGAAATAGGTAACCCTCCACACTGCCCTGAAAACACACTACCACATCTCACTGTGAAATAGATAACAACCCTCCACACTGCCCTGAAAAAACACTACTACATCTCACTGTGAAATAGGTAACCCTCCACACTACCCTGAAAACACACTACCATATCTCACTGTGAAATAGATAACAACCATCTACACATCCCTGAAAACACACTACCACATCTCACTGTGAAATAGACAACCCTCCACACTGCCCTGAAAACACACTACTACAGCTCACTGTGAAATAAAAAACAACCATCCACACTGACCTGAAAACACACTACCACATCTCACTGTGAAATAGATAACAACCCTCTGCACTGCCCTGAAAACACACTACCACATCTCACTGTGAAATAGATAATTTCAATAGTTGTGTAACTATAAAGGACACTGAATTCATAATTTTTAAAGCCTCCCAAAGAAATCTCTAGGCCCAGATAGTTTTATTAAGCATCTACAAACATCCTACAACTGACATTACACCTGATAGTGAAAAACCAAACGCTTTCCCCCATGACTGGGGACAAGGCAGAGATGTCCAGTCTCACTACTCTTACCAAACGGTGGAAGCTCTAGGTGGTGCAATATGCTGGGTGGCAGCACGTTGAGGGCGGGGGTGGGTAAAATATAAGGTGTATCTTCAAAAAGGAAGAAATCAAACTGTCCTTATTTGAACATGACATGATGGTCTATATGGAAAATTTCGAGGACTTTACAAAACACTGAATAGAGTATGTGTGTTCAGCAAGGTCACAGGAGACAAGATAAATATACAAAAATCAATTGTATTTCTATATGCAGCAATTAATACATAAACCTCAAAATTAAAAATATAAGACTATGATGACTTCTTAAAAATGTAATCTTAAATGTACATCAAACAAAACATGTACCGAGCTTGTGTGCTGAGAACTACCCAACACTGATGAAAGAAATAGAAACAAACGTTGACAATACCATGTTTGTCGACTAGAAGACTCAACACAGTAAAGGCATCGATTCTTCCCCAAATATAGGTTTAACACAACTCCTATGAAAACTCCAGCAAATCTGTTTCTATATATGTAGACAAGATAGATGTAAAATTGGCATGAAGAGGCCAATAAACTAGAAGCTAACATGATTTTGAAAAAGAATAACAAAGAGGGAAGAGTGAGTACACTTGATTCCAAGACATTATATAGTAACAGTAATTAAGACCTCGTGGTACTGACACAGGAACAGGTATGTAGATAAATGAACTGAATAGAGAACCTGCAGAACAGACCCACACAAATGTGCCCAGAGTTTTGACAATGGTGGAGAAGAAACCTAGTAGAAGAAAGAGCCTTTCCAACAAATGATGCTACAGCAATTGGACATCCAGAGGTAAAACATGAATCATGGTCTATTTCTCATACCTTATACAAAAATTAGCTCAAAATAGATCATAGACTTCAATGTAAAACTATGAAATTTGGGGGGGAAAAGCTTAGGGGGAAATACTTAGGATCTAGAACCAAAAGTATAATCCTTAAAAGGAGAAACTGACAAACCGGAGTTCATCAAAATTAAATGTTTGGCCACGTGAAAAACCCTGTTAGGATGAAGAGACAAGTTAGACACCAGGAGAAAATATCTGGAAGTCACACACCTGACCAAGAACTAGTATCTGCAGCATATAAGGAATTCTCAAAATGTAACACTAACATGAAAACACAAAACCAAACAATCCAGTTAGAAAAGGGGCAACAAGGGCGGGCAGCGTGGCTCACATCTATAATCCCAGCACTTTGGGAGGCCGAGGTGGGTGGATCATGAGGTCAAGAGATCGAGACCATCCTGGCAAACATGGTAAAAACTCCACATCTACTAAAAAATAGAAAAAATTAGCTGGGTGTGGTGGTGCACGCCTGTAATCCCAGCTACTCGGGAGGCTGAGGCAGAATTGCTTGAACTCAGGAGGTGGAGGTTGCAGTGAGTGGGATTGTGCCACTGCACTCCAGCCTCCAGCCTGGCGCCTGGTGACAGAACAAGACTCTGTGTCAAACAACAACAACAAAAAAAAGGTGGAGGGGAAACAGAAACAGGACATTTTACCAAAGAGGATATGTGAATGGCAAATAAGCACATGGAAAGGCATCTGGCACCACCAGCACTGGGGAAATGAAACGGAAAAGCACTGTGGGATTTCCCTGCACACACATCAGGATGTGAGTGTAATGTAAAGAATCACTACAGTGTCACATGCTGTGGAAAATGGGAAGCAACCAGTCACTCATCGCCGCTTGTGGGAATGTTAAATGTCACAGCCATTCTGAAAACAGGTTGGCACTTTCTTTACGAAGCTAAACATGCAACTACTATTTAACCCTGCAATTACATTCTGGGCATTTAAATCAGAGAAATGAAAACTTACATTCACACCAACATCAGTATGTGGATGTTTGTAACAGCCTTATCTGTAATACTCAAACCTGGAAGCAACCCAGATACCCTTCAACAGGTGAGTGAAAAGGAAGTGTGGTCTGTCCACACGGGGAACACAGCGAAAGAACCACCAGCACCCGGGGGTTTGCAGAGAGCTGTGCTGAGCAAGCAAAGCCAGTCCTGGGAGGGACATTCTGTGTGATTTGTTTATATGACAAAATGGCAAAAGTACAGCCATGGGAACAGATGAGTGGTTGCCAGGGGCTGAGGAGGGGTGGGCTGGGACGATGGCACATGGGTGGGTCCCTCAGGGGCCGTGGGAGGGCGATGTCTGGGTCTGGCTGTGTCGATGGCACCTCACGGCTGTGATGCCATCCCACAGTCTGGCACACAGCAGGCACATCATACATGCATGCTGAATAAAAGAGCATGCGAATGACTATGGAGGGAGAGCAAGGGCTTCTGGCTAATTTATGAATAATGCAGGTGTAAGTGCATCCCTGTGGGCTGATGTCCCATCACCTTTCTTTCTTTCTTTTTTTTTTTTGAGATGGACTCTTGCTGGGTCACCCAGGCTGGAGTGCAATGGCACAATCTCAGCTCACTGCAAACTCCACCTCCCGGGTTCAAGCAATTCTCCTGCCTCAGCCTCCCAAGTAGCTGGGATTACAGGCACACGCCACCATGCCCAGGAAATTTTTGTATTTTTAGTAGAGATGGGGTTTCACCCTGTTGGCCAGGATGGTCTCAATATCTTGACCTCATGATCCGCCTGCCTCGGCCTCCAAAAGTGCTGGGATTACAGGTGTGAGCCACCGCGCCTGGCTCCTCAATCACCTTTCTATACAATGGCCAGTCATCAGTCGTACATTTCAAGGCTCAGCCCAACATAATCTCACAGGCTCCATGTGGTGAGAGGAGATTTTTCCGCCTTAAGCCAAGGTCAGCTGTGTAGCTCGGCTCAGCTCCTGGCACTGGGACCAGGGCATGGTCACAGGAGCCCCAAGGGCATCAGGACGACTGCCAGCTCCGCCAGGGCCACTCACCTCCCGGAAGCCCTGTTCGAAGTGCCGGAGCTGCAGGCACTGCTCCAGCTTTTGCTGATGCTTTGCCCAGAACTCATCGAAGGCAGCCTCGGTTTCATTCAGCTGGGCCAGGAGCCTGGGAAAGAGGAGGAGTCAACAGTCTGTGTGGCCCAGGGAGCCCCACACAACGTGGAGCATACTGGGAGTTCGAATGACACCGGGGCTCATCTCCAATCCAGGCCAGCCTTCCTGTGATCTGGCCTCAGCTCACCCCTGCAGCCAAACCCAGAATCTGCAGGCGCAGGCACCTAGGACCATCAGGATGGGAGGAGGCCCTGCAGACAGCATCATGGGCTGTGGACTTTCCTTCCTGCTTCTCTCCCTCTACGTCTCCGCAGCTGGGCTGAGCCACTGAGTGTGTTCATTTTAGTTTTTAAAAAAAATGTAAATTAAGTTTTCTTTATGTTTTGAGACAGGGTCTGGCTCTATCGCCTGGTCTGGAGTGCAGTGGTGCAACCTTGGCTCACTGCAACCTCTGCTTCCCGAGTAGCTGGGACTCCAGCTGTGCAGCACCATGCCTGACTGAGTTTTATACTTTCTGTAGAGACAGGATTTCATCATGTGGCCCAGGCTAGTCTCGAACTCATAAGCTCAAGCGATCTGCCCGCCTTGGCCTCCAAAAGTGCTGGGATGACAGGTGTGAGCCACTGTGCCCGGCCTGAGTTTGTTCATTTTCAAAAGGCCAAAAAGGCCAAGGTTTGGGGTGATTAGTTACAGCTGTGGTCCAGGGGAGTGAGCTGTCCCTAAATGTCAGGGGGAAGCTGGGGTCACCAACCTGTATCACCCAGTCAGCTCCACACCCACCTCCAGGCATGTGCACAAATTAGCTTCACTTTACAGATGGGGAAACTGAGTCTCTGGGAAGCTGACAAGGTGCCCAACACATACCAGGGCTGGCCCACCCTCATGGGCAGGGCTGCAATATCAGCCTGGTGGTTCATAGCACCCCATCTATAAGGAGCCCCTCAAGGGTTTTCCTTGTGTCCCTGGCACAGAAAGCAGCTCAGTGTGGGTCATGCTGCATGGGAGTCAAAGGCAGCTGAGAGTCAAAAGGACCAGCTCAGTCCAGGCCAGGGTGCACCCAGTACAGCCCTGCCGGACAAGCCTCTGTCCAGCTGGTGGGGCCTGTTCTTCAGCCAGGAGGTGGGGCTGATAACACCCACCTTTGAGGATGGGACAGGGAAGGCTCAGGGAGTTCTGGGGAGGACTGGATGGGGGAGGGGGCTTGGGGAATTCTGAGGGGGAATGGGATGGAGGAGGGGAAGCTTGGGGAGTTCTGGTGGGGATAGGATGGGGGAAGGGAGGCTCAGGGAGTTGGCGGGGTATGGGATGGGGAAGGGGAAGCTTGGAGAGTTCTGAAGGGGATGAAATGGGGGTCAGGGAGTTATGGAGAGGGTGGAATGGGGGGTTCGGGGAGTTTGGGGGGATGGGATGGGGGCTGGGGAGTTTTCGGGGATGGGATGAGATAAGGCTCAGGGATTTCTGGGGAGTCAGGGGGAGAGGGAGCTCGGGGAGTCCTGAGGGGATGGGATGAGATGAGGCTCAGGGATTTCTGGGGAGTCAGGGGGAGAGGGAGCTCAGGGAGTCCTGAGGGGATGGGATGAGATGAGGCTCAGGGATTTCTGGGGGGTGCGGGGGAGAGGGAGCTCGGGGAGTTCTGGGGGATGGGATGAGATGGTAGAAAGGGAGCTTGGGGAATCCTGGGGGGATGGCATGAGATGAGGCTCAGGGAGTTCTGGGGGGACAGGATGAGACTCAGGGAGTTCTGGGGGAGATGGGATGAGATGAGGCTTGGGGAGTTCTGGTGGGTATGGGGAGAGGGAGCTCGGGGAGTTCTGGGGGATGGGATGGGATGATGGAAAGGGAGCTGGGGAGTCCTGGGGGGATAGGATGAGATGAGGCTCAGGGAGTTCTAGGGGGACAGGATGAGATGAGACTTGGGGAGTTCTGGGGGATGGGATGGGGGAGGGGACTCGGGGATTTCTAGGGAGTATAGGGGAGAGGGAGCTCAGGGAGTTCTGGGGGATGCAATGAGATGAGGCTCAGGGAGTTCTAGGGGGATGGGATGGGGAGGGGTTTGGGGAGTTCTGGGGGATGGGATGAAATGAGGCTGGGGAGTCCTGGGGGGATGGGATGAGATGAGGCTCGGGAAGTCCTCGAGGGATGGGTCGGGGGCAGCTCTGGGAGTTCTGGATGTCCTAGGGCACCATGCCAAGCACACAAGTGTCCTACCCTGTGCTCTGTAAAGCTGGAAGCCCAAAGGAAAAATATGTGAATCACACCTTTTACCATGAGCTGCAGCGAGGAGACCCCCAGGCTTTCTCCCTGTCTGCGAAACCCCCGCTGGGAGTGCGGAAGCCCCCGTGTCCAAAGCGCTCCCTCGCCTCTTCTTGCCCTAACATCTCCTTCGCGCCTGTGGAAGGGCGTTTGCTCTAGGAAATCGTCCTCCCTACAACAGTGGCTTTCTGTGGGGTTCAGGAGAAAGCATTTCAGCAGGAGGAGCTGGGTCCACACCGAGGCTGGGATGCTGGCTGCTGTGCTGGCCTGGGTGGGGTGTGGGGCTGCCTGCCGTTTGTGGCTCGCTCTTTTGCAGAGACCGTGTGCCTGAGAGACTCCTACTGGACCGGGGCAGGGCGAGGGCAGGAAGGGGGCTAAGCCTCACCTCTGCACGGTGGCCTGGTTGTCGAGCTGGTCCTGGTTCACACCGGGCTCCGAGCCCTCAGCCTGCGGCTCCCTGAGGCTCTCCAGAATGTTGTGCCCCTCTTTCAGTGCCAGCCACAAGTCCTCCTGTGGAGAGAACGCAGCCTCGCACCCGCACCCGGCCCGACAGGCAAGCAGCACAGGCCAGAGGTGAGGCCTCATGGGGCCTTGCTCTTGAGGGGGTGTGGACTGAGGAGGGGGTCACCCTCCCAAGTCTCCCCAGTGTCTTCTGTGGGGTCGTGCAGGGAGGGCAGGCTGACGTGGGGGACTCCCTCACTCCTGTGTGCCCCAGGCAGAGCTGCTGCTACAGGTCACTTGGGGCAGAGGGTTATGGTGGAAGAGTCACCAGAGGCCAAGCTTTCTCACAGGGCCTGCTCCTGGTCCTCACACTGTTCTCAGGGAGGAGCAGCCACTGAGCACAGAGGCACCGTCCTGGGGATGCACCCGCAGGTCCCGGGCCTGGGTCACTGCTGCTTCAAAGCCAGCAGCGTGCGGGGGAGAGGGGGCAGAACAGAGCAGGGCACACACACTCCTCACAGTACGTCCGTCCCAGCAAGCTCATACAACACGGACGCGTGAGCACGGGAGTGCCCTGCACACACGAATCCAACCAGCACTTCATCGCCTGCTCGGCAGAAGGAGCCAGGGCAGACCTCCTGTCTCTGTCACACTCAGAAGCCACAGAGACGTCTATCTGGGGGCTCCTGCACAGACACCCAAGATTGCTCCTGAGAGGAAAGCTGCCCTGGTCCCCCTCCTGACACCATGGCCACCCAGGACCAATGGCTGATCCAGCACCAGCCTGTGCGTGGTAACCGCAGCCGGCATTTGACAGGTTTCCTTTCAAAAAGGAACATCGCTTCTCATCTGAGAGGCTGCCCAGCTAATCACCATCAAAAGGCATCTCAAGCCTGCCGACTTCTTGATCTCACATGCTGCGGATTCCGACCCTGGGACAGAAGAACCCCACAGCTTCCGACCAGAGCCCCCCACCTACCTTCGCCTTGTCCTTCTTCTCCATGTGTGCACACAGCACTGAGCTTGTTGACTGGACGTCATTGGGCAGCTCTGTTTCCGCCAGCTCCGTCCCGAAGGACTGCAGCATCTGAGCCGTCTGCTTCACCATGAGGGCAAAACTTTCAATGGCCTTGGGGAGAGAGAAAGCACAATCACACGCCTGGTGCATTGCGCCCACCTCCTGCCGTCCTGAAAGCAGACACCTTGGAAACCATCCCACTCCGACCCATCAGGAGAGACTGGCCGATGCCACAATGGCAAATGCCCTCCCATAGCGTGCCACCCTCCAGGGCCTCCTCAGAAACATACCAGGCACGCTCTACAAATGTGCCCACCACCTAGTGTCACCCCCTGCCAGGCACCCTCTGCAAATGTGCCCATCACTTAGCATCACCCCCTGCCAGGCACCCCCTGCAAATGTGCCCACCACCTAGCGTCACCCTCTGCCAGGCACCCTCTGCAAATGTGCCCACTACCTAGCGTCATCCCCTGCCAGGCACCCTCTGCAAATGTGCCCACTGCCTCGTGTCACCCCCTGCCTGCGCTGCCTCTTCCCGTTGAGAGCAGTGAGTGTTGCAAACCACAGCACAAGGGTGTTTTTGGTCTTCTCCAAGCGCAGAGAAGTCACTCCCTGGCTTATTGCTCATGTTACTTCTTTACAATGATGGAGGTCCACTGAGACCATCTCCTCATTCTTGGGGAAGAAAACGTCTCTTACTGTGGACGTGTTTTTGGAAAAGGCTGTGCTGTAATCAAGAGCAATTCATGGGTGAACTCGAGCTGGCCGCAGCCAACCGTGGCCCCAACGTGGCTCACCGTGCGCTGGCACAGCCACCGAGAGTGACAGTAGTCCAGGGTCCCGCCCAGGTCCTCAGTCAGCTGTGACTTATCAATGTAACCGTGTAGGTCTGGAACAGAGCTCAGCATTATGACCTGGAGGAGAAAGGAAATGGGCAGTGGCCTTTGGAATTATTGTTGGCTCCCAAAAGAGCTGCCCCATCTGCAGAGCACCCAGCAGCACAGAGGGGACATGGCCGCCTGGACGCTATGGGTGGCTGTGGGGATGGGGGGCCTGGATGCTGTGGGGATGGGGCGGCCTGGATGCTGTGGGTGGCTGTGGGGATGAGGCAGCCTGGATGCTGTGGGGACGGGGCGGCCTGGATGCTGTGGGTGGCTGTGGAGATGGGCAGCCTGGATACTGTGGGGATGAGGCAGCCTGGATGCTGTGGGGATGGGGCGGCCTGGATGCTGTGGGTGGCTGTGGGGATGGGCAGCCTGGATGCTGTGGGGATGAGGCAGCCTGGATGCTGTGGGGATGGGGCGGCCTGGATGCTGTGGGTGGCTGTGGGGATGGGCAGCCTGGATGCTGTGGGGACGGGGCGGCCTGGATGCTGTGAGTGGCTGTGGGGACGGGGTGGCCTGGATGCTGTGGGTGGCTGTGGGGACGAGGGCGTCTTGACCCTGTGGGAAGTTGTGCGGATGGAGCGCTGGGCTTCAGACCTGCGTGGACCGGGGTGTGGGTCCCACTCGCCCGCAGGCCAGTTGCCGACTCTCTCTGTGTCTCAGGTGCCTCCTTCATAAATGCCACGGTGAGGGGCAAATGGCACCACTGGAGGCTCACAGAACCCAATGGGAGTGTGGCCTGTGACGGCCGATGATGTGAGCAATAGGTGTTTACACCTCCCCAGAAACACCTTCGAACAGCGCTCTGATGGAAAGATGATCAGTTTTCTCCCTGTTCCTCCCAAAAACACCCCGTGGTCATTGTAGACTCCGGCTGGAATCAATACGACCCCACTGAGGCTAGTTGGGGAACATGGCCTTCGGTTCCTGGCTGCGGTTACACGGGAAACCCGTGGTTGCATCGGCCACGCACGCTTCTCTGCATGTGCCTTGTCTTCATTTTTCTGCATTTCTCCTGCCTTTTTTGAGGTCACTCCATCCATGGGTTTGGATAAAATCTAGGCTTGGCTTTGCAGCTGTCAGGCAGGACCACAAAGCGGGTCTCCTGAGATTTAGCTCAGCCCCCCGTCATGTATTATTAGACAGTGTATCAGTCTAGAGTGGGGACTCTCAACTGGGGGTGATTTTGCCAGATTGCCACAGTGGCAGGGGGTCTGGGGACCACTGTTCTCCCTAGCCAGCCACAGCAGCAGGGGTCCTGGGGCTACTGTTCCCCCTACTGTCTCCTTCCTAGGGCTGAGTTCAGCACACAGCACTGAAACACAGGGCGCGCATGTTTCGGCTGCATCCTCACGTGCTTCACTCTGTAACGTCAAGAATTATCTAAGTGGGGCTGTGTGTTTAAAGATGCTGGTGATGGTTTTTGGGAAACCCATGTTGATGCCTCGCCGTGGCGCCGTTGTGTGGGGGAGCCCGTGGCACGATGACCAGTGAGGTCGGTGTTGCTCCCCGTGACACGTGTGTGGTCACGAAGCCTGTGGCTAGTGTGCAGTGCCTCCATACAGGAGGGAAGGGCTGGGCCCATGGAATCTTCTCTCTCACAAGGGCCATGACACGCACACGCCACCACAAGAGGCGCGTCCTTGGGGTGCTGAGCTGCACATGCAATGCCTGGCTTGCCCAGTGTCAGGACACGAACCTCCCACTGCCCACGACTCCCTGCTCTGCACGGGTTTGTCACTGGTCGTCTCTAGTAAATAAACTTTTCAGAAATAAAGGGTTCTTGGAGGCTACAAAAAAGGGGTGTGCACAGAGTCCTTGTGGCAGGGCATGCAGAGAGCTTCCCCGTGGCGGGGCATGCACAGAGCTTCTGGGTGGTGGGGCGTGCGCAGAGCTCCCCCATGGCGGGACATGCACAGAACACCCCCCCGTGGCGGGGCGTGCACAGAGCTTCCCCATGGCGGGGCATGCACAGAGCTCCCCCGCGGCGGGGCGTGCACAGAGCTTCCCCGTGGCGGGGCGTGCAGAGTTTCCCCGTGGTGGGGTGTGCACAGAACTTCCCCATGGTGGGGCGTGCACAGAGCTCTTGCTCACGTGGCATGGAGGCTGTAGCAGTACAGTGAGAGTGGGGAGGGAGGGCTGGTGCCACCTGATTCCCAGAGCTCAGGGAGTAGCTTCACAGCTAGTTACCTGCACCCCGGATTCCCTGATTTCCAGCAGGGTCTGGCTGGTGTCATAGGGGGCTGCTGGTGCTGGCCCATATGTCCCTGTTCTCTTTGTGGCAGAGAAGACATGAGCTCCCCAAAGCAGTTGACTGGGGCTCTCAGGGAAGCTGGCACAGCTCGGGCTGGTGATAGGGCTGCACAGGCTCTAAGGGGCTTTGTGGAGCCTTTGTTCTTTAAAGGACAGTGGATCAAGGCTGAAGGTACTTTCTCAGTGGGGAGCACTGGGAGATGATGCCCTGTGCCTGGCTAGGGTGGTGGCAACAGGGCAGGGGTCACCCTGTTGGCTGCTCCAGGACAGGTCCAGCCCATCCCTGCCAGCAGTGGGGCTCCCTCCCAGGTCCAGGGATGCTTACAGTCCCCTCCCCAGCCCTTCTCTCATCCCCAGGCCACAGGCAGGGTCTGGGCTGCATTCCTTGCAGGTGGGCTGGGGGGACTCTCAGCCCTTGGGGTCCCAAGTTCTGCAGCTTTCCTGGGGGCATCTGTTGTGTGACCCGTGTCCTGGTGGGACACCCACACCGTGGCCCTTCTGAGGTGGGCGGGGTGGGGGCCGGGGGCGGGGGTGGGAGAAGAAAGGATTGCATCGCTCCTGACGGTGCTGAGGAAGTGCAACCTCCTGCCAGCTCCTGCGGGGCCCCGAAGTCAGCTCCTCGAAGATGCTGATGATCACAGATGGGGCAGGAAGGCAGTGCTACCTCAGGATGGAGGCAGGGACACTTACCGGCACCTTCATCTTAAAGTCATCTCTATTGAATTTGAAAGCGATGTCGGAGAGAGTCCTCTGGAAAAATCCCGTTGGGCGAAGAACAAGGACAAGCTGCAGGTTTGCTGGGAAAGACGCCTGTGAGAGAAGGCGGGAGACAAGAGCCTGCAGCTTGCTCTGCGGAAGGGGCCCCCCCAAGTGCGGGGCCTGCACCCTGGGCTGACTGGGGAGGCACAGCTCGCAGGCCAGGCGTCCTCAACGTGGCATGTTTATGCTGAGATAAACATGGTAGAGATGCCAGCCTCTGTGAGAGGCATCGCCTGTTTTTAGAAGAAAAGAAAAAAAGCATCTGCCTTGGCAGAACGTTACGCTGCTTACAAATGTGAAGGTCAAAAGCTTACGACAGTTGTTGGGGCCGAGCTGTGTCTCCCCAAATGGTGATGCTGAAAGCTAGCTCTCGGTGCCTCAGAATGTGACCTTGGCTGGAGACTCTTTACAGAGGAAACCAAGCTCAAATGAGGTCACTAGGGTGGGCCCTGACCCCTCGTCTCATGGAGCACACCCAGAGAAGATGCTGGCGGAGGTCGGGGCGGTGCTTTCACACCCAGGGAGACCCAGAGACACAGCCAGGATGGAAGCTGGAGAGAGGCCTGGGGTGGACAGATGCTCCCCACAGCCTCGGGACGAGCCCACCCCAGTCACACCTGAGTTCAGACCCCATCTCCGGGGCTGGCAGGGAGTGCGTGTCTGTGCCCAGCCGTCAGTCTCTGATCACTTTGTTACCGTGGTCCCAGGAAAGCAAGACACTTTTCAAATTTTAAAAAAGCAACATGAACACATATGTGTGTTACTACAAAAATAAAGATAATCTTGCGCCCTGGTGTGCACACGTGCCCTTGCACGCAATTATATGAACTTATTTGGAAGCCGGCTCTGCCTCTTACAAGGCAGGAGACCTTGGGCAGGTCACTCCCCTTCGGTGTCTCGGCTTCTCCATCTGGAAAGTGGGGAGAGTGGCACACCCGCTCCAAGATGAAACTGACTAAGGCGTGCGTGGTGCTCGTTGGTGCCCACACAGAGGACGTGCTCAAAAGCCACCATGACACACGTGCAGCGAATGCTGCTCTCGACGCCAAGTTCTGTCCAGACGCTGAAACCCAGAGAGACCCTGTCACCAAAAAGGAAACTGTGAAGCAACTGAGTTTGATTTCTGGATAAGTGGGTTAAATGCACCTGAAGTATGACATATAGAAAAGGGTGGCGTTGCCCTAACGCAGAAAGGAATATAGCGCAAGGACTAAGGAGTGACCGACTTGCCAAGATGTCCTGGCTGGGTGTGGTCCCACTGGAAGGCCACGCCTGGGTGTTGCCCACTGGAAGGCCACACCTGGATGTTGTCCCACTGGAAGGCCACACCTGGGTGTTGCCCACTGGAAGGCCACGCCTGGGTGTTGTCCCACTGGAAGGCCACGCCTGGGTGTTGCCCACTGGAAGGCCACGCCTGGGTGTTGTCCCACTGGAAGGCCATGCCTGGGTGCTGCCCACATTGGAAGGTCCAGGCTGGCCTAGCGAGGGCCACAGGAGAGCCCTGAAGCTGGGGGAGGGTCTGAAGTCAGGGGCCCATGGGGCATGGGCCAAGGCTGGGTGCTCTGGCCACATCGGCTGCAGGGAACGCCCCGGCTCATCTCTGCTGCTGACAAAATGGTCTCAGGCGGGAATTCTAGATCACGCACCCCAAGTTGCAACCCAGCTCTGGGATTACAACACAAGCGGCTGGGACCCCAACCATGATTACACAATGCCTTTCCACAGCTGTGGGATCCTAGTAGCAAGACCTTCACAAGCCTGTCCTCAGCACCCAAACACCCACCGAGAGCTGTGTTTCAGCTCAGCTGACTGCCCTGCAGGAATTAAAACCAGAGACGTGCTTCTGCCCCATGTGCATAAACTAAGGGCTCAGTTACTGGGCGGCCGCCCTCCCCATCCAGGGCGGGTGAACACTGTCCTGTCTCTGGGCGGCCACTCTCCCCGTCCAGGGTGGGTGGACACTGTCCTGTCCAGGGCTGCTTTCCCGTCCAGGGTGGGTGGACACTGTCCTGTCACTGGGCGACCGCCCTCCCCATCCAGGTTGGGTGGACACTGTCCTGTCACTGGGCGGCGGCCCTCCCCATCCAGGTTGGGTGGACACTGTCCTGTCGCTGGGTGACCGCCCTCCCTGTCCAGGGTGGGTGGACACTGTCCTGTCTCTGGGTGGCCACCCTCCCCATCCGGGTTGGGTGGACACTGCCCTGTTGCTGGGCAACCGCCCTCCCCATCCAGGTTGGGTGGACACTGTCCCGTCACTGGGCGACTGCACTCCCCGGCCAGGGTGGGTGGACACTGTCCTGTCTCTGGGCGACCACCCTCCCCGTCCAGGGTGGGTGGACACTGTCCTGTCTCTGGGTGGCCGCCCTCGCCGTCCAGGGTGGGTGGACACTGTCCTGCCCAGGGCTGCTTCCCCGTCCAGGGCGGGTGGACACTGTCCTGTCTCTGGGTGGCCGCCCTCGCCGTCCAGGGTGGGTGGACACTGTCCTGTCCAGGGCTGCTTCCCCGTCGAGGGTGGGTGGACACCGTCCTGTCTCTGGGCGGCCACCCTCCCCATCCGGGTTGGGTGGACACTGTCCTGTTGCTGGGCGACCACCCTCCCCATCCAGGTTGGGTGGACACTGTCCTGTTGCTGGGCAACCACCCTCCCCATCCAGGTTGGGTGGACACTGTCCCGTCACTGGGCGACTGCCCTCCCCGGCCAGGGTGGGTGGACACTGTCCTGTCTCTGGGAGACCACCCTCCCCGTCCAGGGTGGGTGGACACTATCCTGTCTCTGGGTGGCCGCCCTCGCCGTCCAGGGTGGGTGGACACTGTCCTGCCCAGGGCTGCTTCCCCATCCAGGGCGGGTGGACACTGTCCTGTCTCTGGGTGGCTGCCCTCCCCATCCAGGTTGGGTGGACACTGTCCTGTCACTGGGCGACCGCCCTCCCCGTCCAGGGCGGGTGGACACTGTCCTGTCACTGGGCGACCGCCCTCCCCGTCCAGGGTGGGTGGACACTGTCCTGTTGCTGGGTGGACATTGCATGCCTTTCCTACAGGGCCCCTCCCATGGAGATCTCTGCCTCATTTGCATTGCATGGGGAGGGCAGGGACCATGGCTCTTAGTGGCCAGTACACTTGGCAGGTGCTCTGTGGGTGTCTTCTGCCGAGTGGATGGGGGACGGGAGGCTGATGGCTACCAGGGACCCTCCTGCCTCCACTGCCCTCCACACCCATCCCCTCTACCCACAGACCTCAGGGAGGTGCTCTGGAGGGGCCTGCATCTGAGCCCTCTCTGCCCCAGCATCTCACACGACAACTGGACGTAAACTAAGGCCACAGCCATTCACCTGTGGCAGGAGCACGCATGGGTAAGATGCTGTGACAGGCCGAATTACAAGCGGGGAGTCATGAGCTGAGCATCTGCGGGGAGTGAGTTCCTGGTGGACGGGACACCTGGGCAGTTCTTGGAGAAGCAAGGCCCTGAAAGGTGAGACGCCCCAGGGCAGGTTCTGTGCCTCTCAGCAACAAGAGGACTGAAAATCCCTCGCCACCACTGTGAACTCAGCCACCGCTACTTAAGGAAAACCAGTCTTTTTCTGGAGGCGCAATGAGTCATGCTCTTCTAAATCTTGCTGTTGTTTTTATCACCTGGATCTTTTAGGACAGGCTGAGAGCTTGAAGCATGGAGAGAAAGCCAGGTGTGTAGGGGGCAGGGGTCTGCATCTCCAGCAGGTTCAGCTCAATTTGCCCCTAAAGCCTCCGGGAGTGAAGCGTCCCTCCGCGGCAAGGCCGGCTGGTCCCTAGAGGCTCAGCTCTGCCACAACCCCTCTTCCCTGCCTCAGTTTTAGTCTTTTTGTTTTCTAAGCTGTTGGATCATTATATTAAATAGAATAATTGCAAGATCCTAGTTGAGCGAGAAGGTGCCAATAATGTGCACAAGGACATACCCTGAATAAAATAACAGCAAATTAAATTTCCTCTGAATTGGGGTCGATCGTTTGTACTAAAAGCTGGGGAAAGGTCTAAAATAAAAACTTCATTTTACAAGAAGGGGTAAGTATAAATGGTAACTGGCTGAAGAATTTGGGATGGGGCTGTCAAGTCTTTTTCTAAATTACTTAACAATAAAGTAATCATAAGATTATAACAGGTTCTATCTGATATGAAAACAATATTGCTCATTTTCTGGGCTGACTGGATGAATTTAGCAACAGATATGTGTGATGGCCACAGCACTGTAATCTGGAGGTGGAAAAAGTTCACTCTCAGTGACTCACAAATAATCACCGTGTATTACCAGCACAGCTAAAGCCAACAGGACACGCTGGGAACCCTGATAACTGGGTGCTTTGGGTAACCCTGTTTGAAAAACCCTCCCCAAGTTCAGATAACCTTCCTTGTGGTCCACTCAAAGCCACATCTATCCAGCCTGACATTACATATTTAATTTCAGAGCCGCTGAAAACTCACCAATTACACTTGTCTGACAGCAGCCAAAAAGCAAACACAAGTTTATGTAAAAATATGCACTTGAAAGTTTGTGTCTCAGTGTTAACAGAGGAAGAAACTTCAGAGGCTGAATCAGAGAGGCTGACCAGGTGAGGAACGCAGTGAGCATGGACACTGCTCCTGCAGATGTTTGGACATGAGCACTCAGCATGGCCGCTGCCACGTGTGTGAGGCCATGGCTCCTAAAACCATCCTAAACCACAGCATGGCCGTCTGGGGACTGGTCTGCTCGCAAATGTTCCTCTAGAGAGCCTGGGAGAAAATGCAGGGAGAATCGGCACACACACACACACACACACACACACACACACACAACTGCACGCCCACTCCAGAATGTACAATAATCTCTATGAATTTCACAGGAACCAGACCTGGAGAACAGGCGTACACCCAGGATCCCGAGACTGGATGCGAATGACATTTGGGCACGGACTGCTATGGAAATGGGACAGTCTGCTGATTGATTGATGGGCGGGAACTCGCTGTCTCTCTCACACTCACCCCACAGCTCAAGCCAACCCCCAGGACCTCCCCAGCAGCTTCTCAGCAGATGCTGGCAA